CCCATCGTCGTTCGGACTACACCACGATGACCACGACGACGACGACGGGGTGGATACTTGCGCAGCATAAGAGGTGGGCTAGAAAGGCATACAGTTGTCAGTCAGGCAGTCGTTAGCAGTCTTCTGGATCGTTTGGCTAGCGACGGTGGCGGACCTGCCACCCAAATCTGACCATAGCAATAGAGAATTGGACTCGCCCTCCTTCATTCATTGGTTGCCTAACCGATCATCGTCGGAACCGCTGCCACCAAAGTCGTCCATGGCGGCAGGCGCCACCACGCTTCCTACGGTCCATACGCCCTCGTACTCATCCCCATGATGTGTTCCACCCCCCAGTCCGCGCGGCAGTCCATGCACCATCCTTGTCGACTAGTCGGTCGAACCATTGTCGAGCGACTCCACCAGAGTTGCAGGAACGCCCTTGTCGCTTCTTACGGAGCAGCACTGCCTGTCTGTCAGCAACCACCGTCTACCTAGCTAGCTAGGTCCGTTTCACGCGACATTACGAGAAGAGAGAAAAAAGAAAGACCGAGCAGGACCCAATGCTGCTGCTGCCAGTTAGGCAAAACGCCAGGGTGGGGACCGGTGTCACAACGAAACAGCGGCACATACTAGTCGTCATATTGGCAGCTGCGGTAGTGGCGATAGAAGCGGCTGACGGGATCGTGCTCTATTGGCAAGCAGCGTGGTTTAGCACAAGGTGTTGGACCGGGTTGGTACGTCCAACGTTGTTGGTTGGATAGCTTGGTCTGCTACAGCGACAGTTCTGCCTTTTGGCCTGCCGACCCGGTGAGCAAGGGGAGATGTACTTCGTCGAGGCTGTCCTCCTAGTCGGTGGCCCTAGTCGGCCTAGTCGACCACTGCCCCCTCAGAATTCGATGGGTGGAGAGCCGAAGTCAATCTCATAGCTTTCCGCAGCCGCCGCTGTCGCCACCATCGTGGTCGTAAGCGCCCATGTGCGAAAGGATCCGACCCGAGACCCGGAATCGGGCCAGATCGCCATGAGACTCCGTCAGATTCGGTCGACATCTCTTCTCGAGGCAGTAGATGTGAGTTTGCGCGACGGACGAATCCCAGTTTCTTAGACAATACGTACTGGAATGTAAGCAGTGAGCCAAGACGGCGGCGTTTGCCTTGGTCAACAGGTCAAGCTGAAGACAGGCCCGAAGCGTTTGTGATACTCAGCATGATAATAGGAATCAACCGATCGACATCATTTGTGGTAACTTGTGTGATTGCTGGCTTTCGACCTGCATTTTAACATCTTGCTGGACTGTCACTACATGGAATTTGAATGTTATATGCAGTATATAGTAGTACCGCGATTTCAGTGCTTCCCGCAAACTATGACAATCGCCATTCTACTTTTTCCCAGGTTTGTTTAATAATCCATGGAACATGAATAATGTATTTTAGAGTCTTCTAATGCGCTTACCATAAGTTTAACGTAAGGGGGTGCAGCTATCCAAAAAGCAAGTGTTTCAAGGTATCTTTTGCCAGACCGTTTTCCGCATGGCGTCTGCAATAAGAGCTTCTGTATAATCTAATTTCCGATGTACAAATGCTTGGCAAGCACTCCCAGCGAGATTCCGAAATCAAACTATGTTTGAATAATCGCGCTTTGATTCCTTAGACCCGTAAATTCACCTAAATCTCAAACGCAATCGTTGGAAAGACGCAAAAATTAAATTTTATAACTTTCCATCTGACACTGAAAGCTTATTTTTGCTTGGCAGCTTTGTCTCCAAAGATCGTAAACAAAGCAAAATAACGTTCTGCTCAATTTGCCTTTTGCCCTCAATATATTAATAATATCCAAATTCCAAGAATATATCTGTTCTGAGAGGTTCCAAACAGATCTCGCAGCAATAACAAAATCGACCAATCACACGTGGTATGTTACGAGATTGTTGCTAGAATTAGAAATGCTATAAATCCTACACGCGGTACAAATGCTCTCTCCATGGAACCTACAATAAAATTATCTACCATCACAGAAAAATACTGCCTTAATCTCTTTAGCTTCCCTGCATCAAATCACTGGGCAAATCGTGGGCGTAATTTCAATACTAGCCTGTTGTGTTGCATGCCCAGCAGACAATAATCATCCTAACGACTTCTTCAATTGAGTTGAAGCGTTCTAAATTTTTCGACGCGGCTAGGCGCCTGTACACGCGGCGTCAAATAGGCAACGAATTGATTATGTACACGTCTGATAGTTACTTCGGCGGTTCCTAAGTTGTAGTTATACAACACCCATAGGTTATTATCGGAGGGTGGCAGACTGAACAGGTCTTTTGTGTAACACTGCTAAATATAGTAGTTTGTCTGTTGGAGACATAGATTTTGCTCTAATGCATTGCGCACCCGGCCAGGTAAATGCCTGTGATGGCTGATCCCAGTCACCAAAGGTTTCGCGGAGATCGAAGCTTAGGGTGGAGTTCCGCCTGACGTGCTTACTCCATGGTGCGCTATTAACTAATTTCTCTGCCTCTCTCTTTCCCTGGCGGCCGTCGCCTCACCTGATTTCGAAACGACGTTGCATCTAAACACTAAACAACCTTATAGCCCTATTGACCGTAGGGGGCGCCTGTCGAAGGTATTAAGAAAGGAACGGCGAATTTTAAATAGAGCAGGCTTATGACAGTCTAATCCAAAGATATAGCTTATATTTTTCTGGTGTTATCACAAGTTCGACGTAATATCTACGAACGCTCTCGGTAGTACACGGTGATAAATGGGGAAATCTGTGTAGTCGTTTTGCCTGACTAATAATTTATTAAACTCAAAAAAAGCTTTCTATTGAATGTCAGTTTGCATTTTGGAGTTTTCTTGCTGCTTTTCAATGGCTAGAAATGACTAATTAGCTCGACACTACGATAGAAAAAATAACAGCCTTGACTTTATGCATACGTAAATCCTCCAGTTCCTTGTATTTGTTTTATCAGTCGAAGGCCAAAGATACGTGAAGAGATAATTTGAGGTAACGTAAGTAAGGTAAAGTAAGTCGGCCGTGCGTAAAGTAAAAAATGTTATTTTCAGAGCCACAATTTCGTTGCTCGGTTTTATCTTTACTAACAATTATTGTATTCCATTGTGCAGAATTTGACTGATTTGTCGCACCCAACTAGAAGAATCGAGAAGAAGTCATCCTCAACTTACATGGACAAAAACATAGTTATCGCTGAAAATTTGCAACGGTCTAATCCGTCGACAAAGCCGGAGTAGTCAACTCACTTGATCCGGGCGAAACAAAGCTCACTAAATTATAAAAATGCTTTGTTCGTTCGGCTCGAGTTAGGGGACTCTCATTTCATCTGATAATTAGAAGACATCAGCGTGAAAATGACGGAGTAATGTCATAAGATAGTTTTATCGCCAACATCTGTAGATATCACAAGATTGTCTCTGTAGCCTGTAATGCACCATCGCTTAAAAAATCTATCTCTTCACTGTTGCTGCACCGTGCCACCTGTTGCATTCGTACGGGCGGAATACCGTAAAGGATACGTTCATGTACACAAATATATACGTTGAAATCAAATACACTTGCGCAAATACTTTGTTTTGAATATTCGTATTTTGAATATTGATATATCGAATATTGATTTTAAATATTGAAATTTAAATATTGATATATATAGATTGAATATCATTTGAATATTGGTATACTTATTCAGAATATAAATATTTTATATATAGTCATTTTCTTAGTTATAGCATCATTTTTGCATGGGGTGATGTACGGTGATGTGTTATGAAGGAGAGACAAAATCGTTTTGGGTAGGGCCGCAAAAAAGAGCCGTGAAGCAAAAAGTTCAACCTTTTTACAGATAGTAAAAGAACAGATTTATTGTTTTCACTCTCTAATGAAATCTTTGCTTTTAAAAGGAAATTTTTCCAGTAGTACTGAAAACAGATTTTCATGGATAGGTCTTGAGACAGGTCGAGCGAATTTATATTAATTTACATATAAATATCCTATGGTAATGAATGCATTATTATACAGGTGCACACTGTATACTGTATCTAATATTACAAATAAACCATGGTTTGTCTTATTTTCCGTGGCCTTAAACGAAGAGGCAAATCTGACACGAATAAGGTAAATTAAGTTGTCCGAATATTATTCGGTGTACGCTTACCTTTGGAAGATAGACATTTTTAGTCGCTTCCCTGAGATTTATATAAGAAATAAATCTCAGTATGATTTAGCTTCCTTGTTGAAACAATGTGAAAGCCGTAAACACAACAAATAACGTGATCTTTATTCAAAAAGTTTGCAAGTAGGATCTCAAAAATTATCGGTTGCGAAGAGCATATGCTTGCCTCCCCCATTGTCGGAAGTAATGTTTCTTACATTTTTTGTAGTATTAAGACACCCAAGGTTTATTCCTTACTTCAGGGCTACACGTTAACTTATGTACTCACTTTGTAATGGTTTATCAGCACAATTTCTTCTGCGAAGTCCAAGATTACTTGACCAAGGCGATATTTAGAGCTTTGTTCATTAAATTAAATAAGAAATGATGGTTACGTGCTGTCGCAAAGGACCATTCAAAGACAATGTCGCATGTCGCATTATATCTAATAGAAACTTTAACTCAACTCAGTTTTCGTGCGATATAATCACTGGCTCGCAGAGGTGGGCAAGCTCGGTCCAGTTTATATAAACTAAAGAGTGTATTGGATGGTTGTAAATATAATATTATGCAACGAGAAAACAATTGGTTTAAGTTGTTTCTTCCAAAGAAGCAAAACTACGCCCAAAAAGCCACCGAAAACATTGATAAGCGCTACATCTTTCCCCACTATATTAAGTATTTTTACAGATATTTATCAATAAGTGAGACATAATTCTTACCATTTTTTTATTTTATGTATTCATTAACATTATTTAAATTGTACATATGTTCCCTTATAGGTCGCATCCGCGTCCCTGACATATTTAGCTTAAGTCTCTCATTTCCAATAAATGTCACATGATTCCATATTTTTCGATTCTCATTACTTCTAGTTCACCAAAGCGTCAATTAACAAAATGCATTCTAGATTATTGTTATTGTTACAGTTATCGTTTAATATAGCTTATTTTGAAGGGTATGATATTTTCAATAGGTGTATCAACCCAGATTTTTTCGCGTAAGCTGGCAGCGTCCTGAAAAGAGAAAGCATCGATTTCGACTGTTTTCAAATAAACTATGTAGCGTATCCAGTTCTAATTGTCCTACATAAAAATTACTATGCATTATTCATCATATCTGACGTGGAAAATCGCATGCGCTGCAATCAGGTACAATAACTGAGCTTACATGTATGGAAACAGGGTTTCACAGAAAAATCTACTTTGCGATGTGTAGATACATTTGCAAATATTATAATATTTGTTAATTATAACAATAGGCGTTCTATAATCATTGAGTATTTACATCTACTGACTGGTGCGCTCAATCCTTCCACAGAACCGTCAGCAGGACCTTGCTATCATTAAGTTACCACGTATGTTCAATACACACATACAGTTTGATTCTAAGGAGATTAAATAGCACGATTGCTAGAAGATTATATACTATGTAGGAATACTGCATATGCGTCCCTGCTACTCGTCAGGATTCATACACCAACGGCACGGTTTATACACGAAATGCGTTCATACGAAATTTCGCCGAGGCGCATTGCTTCCATTTTTTTACCACCATGCCTATTTCTACTAGTTAGTTTCCGTTGTCATTACCTTATTAGTTGCAGATAAGCTATCTTTAATATAAAATCTGTCCAGAAATCCACTTTTAGCTTTCTACTCGAGTGTCTCCAATACAGAATTAATCACGGCTTGGCCGCTTTTTTAGGAAAAAAGATGCTACTCGTCATTAATATCGCCGAATTCTTCGCTTCTGAAAAGAGCTAACATAGTAGTAGCGTCCTGAGGATCTCGTTCCTCTTCGTCGAGTTCGTCGCATACAAGTCGACGACGCTGGTCTAATGGAAGTTGGTTTTGTTTGAGTTCGATTTTGCACGAATGGCTGTCATCAGGGCGGGACCGTTTCATTGCTTTTGTAGATTTAGTCGACATCGGTGTCTGCTCTGTTCTTAGCTGCGCCAATTCTTTTACTACTGACAGCTCTGCTTCTTCGGCTACTGGCTTTTTCTCAATTACTGTCATTAATTGCTCATCCTGTTTTCCGTTGTCTGCCTTTTGCTTGCTACCCTCTTTGCAACGGCGCAGCTGCTCCCGAAGTATTACTTCCTGTTTAAGGGATTGCTCCTTTTGCGTGAGAATGTACTGGCTTAGCTCGCTTTCAGGGATAACCATCGAAAGGCTGCCATCATCGTGCTCGTCTTCCTGCAGCGATGATTCCAGCATCTCCTGAAATAAACAAAAAAAGCACCAACAATAAATGCTCGGAAGACGAGTATGGCTTAGGTGAACGTCCTTATGCGTTTTGGAAAATGTTGCTATGTGACATATACGACACAGATTTCAAGACACGCGAATTACTTGAAGGTTTGTTGCACAAGCATATAATCCCTACATTTATTATATTATTGTAAACATTAAGCGAAAGATTAGTTTAGATAGTGGTGGCCAACTGCAACATCAAATTCAAATAAATTAATCTTTCAAGGCTTTGTCCAGCCTCAGCTGACGTTAAAAATGTGCACCAGCGAAGGGGAGCAGCAGTAAAAATCTCGAAATCGTAAAACACCACCACGGTCTGAAGATGAAATGGTGGGATGACATTTGTTGCTGATGATCATTGAAATGCTCTGTTATATAAACATTACTACTTGTCAACTATTCATTCCACAGGCAACCATTCGTACATATAGTTTTCGTTGAATTACAGGAATTTCATATGAAGGCGAAAAAATTGTGCCAAAGCAAACCGAACGTTTGTAATGGCTGCCGATTAAATAGTTTTAATAGTTCCTATAGTTTGAAAGTATTCACACTAAAGAGACACCTACGTTCACCTATTGTTAGCCTAAAGGGCAAAAGCCTACTGGCGGTAGGCGTTCTGTTTGGTATACGTTTTTGATTCCCAGCGTGAAATTAGATACGCTGTGGTGTTTAACCTAGACAACCCCACAATTCCGTTAGGTTAATAGGCAAACACGTTGCCATTATAAGCGATTCCTTACCTGAGCTTCTTTGACTTCCTTAAAATTTTCAAAGGCAACATCGCCTTCGACACTTGTCATTCGGTCGGTTACCTTATATGCAAAAAATGCCTTTAATTTGAGGACCAGATCGAGAAGGAAGAAGAAACTAGCCTGAGTTATTAGCATTGAATAGCCTCCTCGTGTATTGACCACCTAAAATGATAAAGAGGAAGCCATTATGAAAGTTACTCATATGCCTCTTTTTGCAAAGATATTGCGTTCATAAAATACCACTGTCAAAGAATCCGTATTAGCCATATCGTAACAGACGTATGTAAAAGAAACGTAAATTAGCTTGACTATAGGAGAAACAATTCCGAATCGCTGCGGGCTCAATGGCTTCTTCTTATACTTTCATTGAGCTATACTATAACACGATAGATCAAAATTTGCCTAAAGTACATAGCGAATTTTGTGATGTTTAATGTCGCAATGCTACTACTCAAAATCCTGTGTTTTGTCCAATTCCCGCTTTGGTAAATTGTGCCTGCGCCTACAGCACATATGCAGAATACAATACTTACCTCGCATACAGTTTGTATGATTGCATTTGGGGAAATTTTATAAAATGAAGGAATTTTAAGGTTCGACATTGGATAAAAGCCGTGGGTTGTATTGAAATCGGCTAAGGTCATCCTGAAGAAGCGCTCGACATTGACCGCTTTGAAAGCCAGGAAAAATACGGACAATGCAAATAGATGAGGGGGACACCTGCATGGAGAGCAAACAAACGGAAGATCAAAGTAAGATCGAAAGCATCACTGTATAACTTTAAAATCATGATAATTTATAAAAATATTAACAGATATAGCCTCACCCCTTCCCCCGTATACCTACAAGCGGCAAGACTACAGGGCAAGAGAGCAACCTCTTTTACAGTGCTCGAGGTCGCAAGAGATTAGTGCGTAAAGACGCAGTGGAATAATCCATGCAAAATTTGATGGCCGTTTCCAATAGTTTTTCATGTGACATCTCTCACCATAGCTCTAACCATTTTTGCACTCTCTATATTATATATAGAAAACATCTCTATAGTATGGAATATCTGACGCTTTGTAAATCCCCCAGCGCAAGACTAAGAGATAAGCTTGTTACTTTCGACCTATAATCAAACCTACTGTGTTAACCTTCATTCTGCCGTTTAAGGACTTGCCTCTGCATCATGGTACACCGGTCGATCCAGTCTGAAAGCTCAAGGGCTTTGCTAATCACTTCCGGTATGCGATACTCATTTCTCAAGGACTGTCCCGAAAACTTATTAGTGAAAACCTCTATCGACTGCTGAATTGTATCGCCAAGCGATGGCTGAACTGGGACATCCCCACCCCTCTGAATGATCTTCTCGCTGACAATCTTGAACTGTTTGCCGACTTCCTTCACGGTCGAACCACAAGCGTCGGCGATTTCGCGAAATGTTAGGCTGCGCTTTTCGCGACGGAGAATATACATCAGCACTCCACCGGCCAAGGCCTTAGCTTCACGCTGCGGAAATCGCTTACGACAACACTCCCCATAAAGGGTCAGGGCTTCTTCGCTGGCTGCCATAGGAACCTCAAATGTCGAAAGCATGTGCTGAAAATACACAGAAAAAATTAACTACCTAATATGGTGGTTGCAACGGTCAAGGTGATATAATATGAGATGTATACAAACTAAATACAAAAAGATAACCGCCGAACCCTTTGATGGACACTACTTCAAAGACTTTTCTAGGAAATAGGTCTATAATAATGTAATTTAATAAACGTCCACCGCAAGCAGTCTTGGATTAACTTGGCTTCGAATACATTGAGAAGGCGAAGCTAATAAACCGAATTTCTTGTAACACGAAACAATAAAGCGTTACTAAGGGTACCAATCCTCACTGTCGTTAAACTGAGTAGAGCAGGCGCGACTTATATATAAACAGACCAGAAAATTAATTAATCGCAGAATTCAACGTGGCGTACAAATCTACATCAACCGTTATGTTTTTTCGAACGTTTGTAAGTGTAACGAAATTGATTATTACCAACAATTGTTCCCGACCGATAAGGCCCGTCTTGCCCATCGACGACAATGAATTAGATGTTGTGCAGACACCCTGACGTATACCACGTCTACCCATCCGAAACTTCGTGACTGTGTTTTCGTTACAAAACGTCCGCATATCGGTGTCAAGCGCTGCCGCTGACCCCGATACCAGCGACACCTAAAAAAAGTGTGAACGATTAAATAGTATAATAAAATCCACTGATTTAAATCGACTCAAAGAACTGATTAAATAAATATAATCGATTCACTGTTGTAATTACTGTAGCGTTGCGATACACAGTTTTGTCCTGTTGCCAAGTCTAGTTCAATGGATTAGCAAGTTTATAGCAATATTTGATATTAAAATGGAAATAATAGCTCGCCACACAATATCAACCTGTTAGGAGCTGATCATTTGTGCTAGAAATGGACAAACTATGTATGGAAGTCGACGGCATGGCTGTTACTGCTTGAAAGACTCCGGAAATACGTCAGCCCAAGAGTGTTCAGCGGAGCGTGAAACAAAAACATACTGATATATATCAGTAGACAACATGAGTACAGCTACGTGATAGGGTTTAAGAAAAACTTACAGATTCTGCTTCAAATGAATAAATGCTGAAAGTTAGCCATGGAAAAAATCTATTATCTTTTAACGGTCGCAGGATGGAATATAAAAATAATGGATAAACGTTTGATATGTTATAAAATCCATTGTGTTATTCGTCGACATTTTCTACTAATTCATTTCATCGTTTGGTGTATCATAAACAAAGTAGGCATACATAAAAGTATCTAAATCCAGTCAGGAGTTGGTTGGAAGACAAGCTGGCATCAAGCTAGGACGTTTTTAGATAATTTTAACTTAGAGACGACCATACAATCACATACGTCGACAGTCCACACTGTCGCTGAACTTCGAGGACGTGTGAAACGTAAGTTCAGCTTGTCTATAAAGAATGTTTTGCTTGCAAATGTACTGCATTTCAGATACATAAATACACTATTTTGTTGATTTATTGTTTTCGTTTAACCTTGGTTAATTACCGAAGTCTTCATAACTGTAATACGGCATTGACGTGTACATCTACACCAAACGTCACCAAGTAGAGTATGCACCACAAATGTTCAAAAAAAGGCTATTATCCAACACTGAACATGATTCACAAACCTCTCCAACGACGCCGCAGTAACAGCAGATCTCGCAGCGTTGCTCCTCATTGTAGATAACGGCATTTTCACCGCAGGAATGACACTTTTCTCTCATCCTTAGACGAAGCTAAAAAAAGAAAATTATAAATTGATAAAATTTTGCGTTTGTATTATTATATGATAACAAAGAGTTATAGACAGAACAGCAAACGAAGATATGGACACTCACAAATTTCAGACACGCTACTGAAGATATGACACAAATTTGCGACATACTTAACTCGTCTGAAATGAATCAGTTTGTAAAATTTGGTTGTCCTTAATAACGGGCGCGAATAAATCTGGGCGAGCAATATTTGTGTTAATTAGTTGCCTACTCGGCTGTTTGTTGCTATTCGAAGAGTCAGACAGCGACAATCTCGACCAGTAAGTAAATGACATTTGAATACTCACCGCGAGCTGCTTCTACGCCCATACAATTAGATGAGCATCTATATTCTACAACTAATAGTACAAACACTTAAGCTCTCTGAGCTTGATACTTGTCTGTCTAAGTACGGGAATTACGACCTTTAATGGTAGTAGGATTATTAGGATAGTAAGATTTTAATGGGAATGCGTCGCTACTTACTTTTTGGTAGTCAATTACTAGGAAAGCCATTGCAGTATTATCGGACGGATCCTGTCGTTTTGACAGTAAAAATTAAAATAGGTTTATGACAGCCTCGAGTCCAAAGCCGCTTAGAATAGAGCTTTTCTTCTTTACAGAAGAGCTGCACCAAAATTATTATAGTCGTTCAACAAACCTACGTCTAGAAGCAGTTTTTAGCTAATTAGAACAACCTCTGTCTCGATATTGTTGTAATCTAACAACAACATGCGTTAAATTGATAGAAGACACTAACTACTTAATAACAACTTAATTCTCTGTTTTCGAACTTGAAGAACGTCGAGAAACGCTTTTGGCAAAACAAAATCCTCAACTGGACGCGGTTACCGGCAGTGTGTTCATATCGGTATGTCGCACCGTGATAGCTAACATGACAACATTAGTGCGTTACGCTACCGCTTCGGATACTAGACCCTCTCCCAAACAGCTCTATTAACAGGAGACAAAAGAAGAATTGAGCTGATGCAAGCTCTGCTCACCTTTTTCACAGGAGCCAATGTTCAATACTAGAAACACGTCTGATAAAGCAACGACCGATTCAATACGGCGCTCCTGGATTACTTGGTGTATACAGCAGCTCATATATCATATATATAGATAGAAAGATATAAATGAATACAGTGGGATAACGGCACGTTGGCTACTAGCAGCAAATACAATTCAATGATCAATGAACAGTATGGTTACCGAATAACGTAGGGTCGGAAGCCAGAACACTCAGGGAATTAAAGCAATGACATACATACACACATATGTATACATATATGATAACGAATACGCTTCCACTGAAGCACTGACTTACCGCTTCGTCCTGGTGCGTGTATGTATGGCACTACATCTAATGTGATCCGAGCTTTGACCGGTGATCTAGGATAAGTCGAAGCTGGCAAACATCGGCTGAATAGAACCACAGCGTCGCACGGAATTTTTACAGCAAAATCGTCGTGCTACAGGCAGGCTATGACGAAACCCGACAAAATCAAATAGTCAAAATATTTAAACTTTTTCATTATGAGGTCATTTTTATAAGTCCGGTTATGTGGAGAAATACAATATTGAATACGGCGCCGCATTCAATCAGGGCTACTTAGAGGTTAACAAAAAGTGAATTTGTGGCAGTATGCACCTGGATGAAAGGATAAGTGAGGAACGATTAGCTGCGAATGCTTTATGACTAATAACTTATTGAAAAAACAGACTGTATCACGAAACACTAACTTAATCACTACACAATTACTATTCGCACATGAATACTCTCGTTTCACAAGTGGCTTCATTCAAAACTTCCAGTATAATTCCTTCTCAAGATCTACTTAAACAGCAACTTAGATGAGAAGTGCTACTCTGCAAAGTATCCGACGAATCACGACGATATCAGCATGTTCAAAGCAGAATGGGGACTCAAGTTTATTTGCCAAAAGGGAAAGGGACTAAACGATTTAAATAGCAAAAACACTAACATTATTAAATATCCAGTATACCCATCTGCCAATTAGTCTGTTTAAAATCGCAATGTAACGTAGAGGCACAGAACAAAACGAGTTCCAAAACAATAAAAAAAAGAAAACAAATTTTGTCCACTTTCAGGCCAAGTCAATATACTAACCTGAGTGATATTATTCTGCAAAAGCAGAAGAGCTCGATAATGAAAATCAATGAACCCATACTCCTGGGTTGCGCATCAACAACAATAACTGATACGTACAACCGACCACATCCTTTACTGGCTCTTTCCAAGCAATCTTGGATTTAAGTCGAGTGTACTGAAATATACAGTGACTAACACTGCGCTCAACAGATAAAGAAATGGTCATTGTGATCTCTACCCAATGTTTACATCCTCTGGTCGAACCCTCCCCGTTGTTGGTGCTTTCCCTTTCCATAGGTTCTCAACCCCAGATGGCTGTTCACGCGGGCTCTGTTCGCTTGTGTCATTGTAAGAATATTATAAGTTCCAAAAAAATTACATTCTGGATCAACGCAACTGTCCATATAGCTTGTATCAGGGAATATGGTGTAACGTATATCGGTTAGGTAATGATGAAAACCACGTTTTAAGCAATTTTATTTTAACCAGTTAGGCCAGCTATCAGCGGTTTAACCTATTAATAATTGCGACTTCTTTTCGTTATGGCTTCTGCAAACAGCGCTATCATAACTACCCTTCCCGTTTTCGACAGGATATTCGTTTATTTTTTGAAAAAATCAGTAAGCATGCACCTGTCTGTGTGACGAAAATGCGCTACGTCGAGGAAAGAGCACGTAGAAGCTACATAAACTAAGCCTCATATGCAAGTTGAATTTGGTTGACTTTGAGAACTTACAGCATAGACGGGTGTCTAACGCATAGTTGAAGACTGTATTCTATGTATATTAATCTATATAGATGTATAAGAAAAATATCATACGTTTTGTTATAATAACAATAAAGTCATGTTTACAGGTTATACCCTTATTAATAATGAATGCCTATAAAGTTTACTGCATCTTGGTTTTTGTTAGTGATACTGCGTTTGAACTGTATTTTTATTCAATTAATTCAATTTCTTTTCTTGATATAACATAAGAATAAAGTAAATGGAATAAAACAGAAGGTGAGCCAGCTTAAAATGAGCTCTACGAGCCAATGAACAACAAAATCAACGCAAACCCTCAACGAATTATTCTGCTATTCATGTACTCTAAAGTAGTTAATGTAAAACTTTAACTTTGCTATATCTGCAAAAGAAGGAGCCATTATGTTTAAATTGGTAATTATTCATACCACATTAAAGAAGATCGAAATGGGTCAAGCAGTGTGTTCACCATCAAAAATGATCTTCCATGTTTCGAGTTTTTTCTTATTGCCTTTAGGCTTTCTATCAGAAACGTAATTCTATTCGCCAATTTGTGCTTCGCAACTTAGATTCGTAACAGCAACTATAGATCCTAATACGATAAACAAAGTAGTCTCGGATACATCAACAGTAAGCAGTACTTATTTTGTCTCCTATTTCCTTCGTGTGCAAGGACGTCTATTAGTCAACACTAATCTCTGTATCTAACACCAATAGCAGGCATTTACCGATTTCGTATGTTGGACTTTTACAAAGATATCTCAGTCAGAGCAGTCAACTCGTGATTTGACTCAACGTGACCTCAAAAAACGAAATTGAGCATGAGCTATGCATCTGGCACAACGCAAATATGTTTACGATCTCTTCAAAGGATTTATGAATGCTTTCAAGCGTGTACAATTCGGCCTACTATTTGTGCGTCGAACCGGGGGTGGGGGGCATGCTAAAGAAGCCAAAAAAACGCAAACGAGTTAAAGCGAAGAAGTACGAATATAAAAACGAATCACAATTACAGTTGGGCTCCTTCTGTGCTTAGCTTGGAGAAAAACTGGTAATATGTACAGGTCGCTTTTCTAACTATATCAACTATCGTACGCTTCACCTGAGTAGTCAACGTCGCATAGGCATATTGAAAAACGATAGCCGATGGTCATCAGATAAAAGACTAAAGAGCACATCATTCATATCAGTCTATTCACTCCCAATTGAATTCCAAACCTGATGTGCTCCCACAGCATGACAGTCTTGGGAACCTTGACCCAAGCCAAACAGATTTTTAAATCGATTTCTACACATTAGTAATAACATTGGAACCCTGTAAGAAACTAAATAGTTCATTGTTTCGACGCACTGCCTAAAAACTCTATCGAAGTCCTATAGCGGTAATGGCATTCCAGTGCCGGCAATTCTTTACTGCGGCCACCTCATCCGTTTCAACCTTCTTTTTCCATTTCGCTCTGTTATATTCAAAATCTGGCGGTGACTCGTGCCGTTATGACGTCATTGGCGGGAATTGTGCGCAAGCAGTGGAAGTACGGCCGACGAGCCTACTGTGTTCGTGGAGGGCTTTTGTGAGTACAGGGGGACAAATGAGAAAGGAGGCGCCGGGGGAGCTCTCTATACGGGAGCCGCAGCAGGGAGGTTCTATTTTGACGGTTTGATAAGAGAGAGAATCGGCGGCAAGGAAAAGCAGAGAAGACGAGTACCTGCGCGATCTCCATTTTGATCCACACACAGTCGGTGGCGGTAGCAGCGGCGCGGGGAGACTCCATCGGCCGATCGGGTCAGACAGCAGGCTCCGGATCATCGGTGAAATACGCGGAGCATCCCGGGGCATCCTATGGACAGACGCTTGCGGGTCGGTTGGCCATAAACGGCGTTATTCGACTCATTGGTTCAGTGCGAGCACATGGGTTGTGGCGGTGTTCGGCTTTTAGCAAGACGCCTGGCCATGGCCTTCGGGTGAAATACAAAGCGCGCAAACGAGAGCGCGCGGTTTAGTCCACCATCGCTTCGTTCACGTTGGCTCTCGCACTGGCTTCGGGTCAAAAAGAAGAAGAGATTTTGCAAAGGGCGCTGCTCCGTGCTCATTATGAAGGAGGCCATCTTTTTCGCTTGGGTTTATTGCGTGCGCGCCTCAACTAACTCCGCGTTCGTCGCAGGAGATAAGACGAGTGCTTCAGCTGGAAACAGCTGAATAACGGTGGAATCCCAATACATGGAATGAGTTCATGTAGTCAAAGGAAATTACAGATAATCATACATAATTACATATAAAGATTTACGTGCGGTGAGGTTTTAATTGAGCGATTCGATTTTGACGTGCGAGTTTATCTTCGCGTTGAATTTGGATGGAGATATTTGCAACTGAAGTTATTACGTCGAGTTTTATAGTATGTGTGTACATCGATTATGTGTGAAACAGAGTTTTTGGTGCTCTCAGGCGCTTCTGGTGATGAAACCACGAAATCTGGATAGCACTACTGACACCCTGCGGGGAGTTGAGACTGCACATGTGTTTTGTTCCGTCAACTGCCGTACCTACGTTCGGCCTTCCAAAAGACGCGACATAGTAAATCTGATTTGGTGGCGGAGACTCGAAAGAGAATTCACGAGAGAAATAAGTACAAACATTAGCTCCACACAGTTTAAACAGAGTTGGAATTAAGGAAACGGCGCACTGAAATGGAGGTGCAGGCGCGCAATAGCTAGATTAGCTATGCATAGAAGTAGATACATTCATGCTAGGTGGCCACGGCGAGCATGTTTTAATTATAGTACATCTTGTTTAGGTTCACGGGATTTTAGCTTTACCTTATGCTTAGTAGGTGTCTGTCTGTCGTGTTGTTAAAGATGGTTGGGAAGGGTTGGTAGATAAGGGTGACGGGCAGGAGAGAGTGATTGAGAAGTGTGCTAAGAATAGATATATACGAATATCTACCCGATGAATAGAAGTGCTTAATAGTACCGTATCTTTCGAGATAGGTGAACACTTCTGTTGTACGACAGGGACGACAACAAAAAATATTTGTTGAACGGGTAAACCCTTGTTGAGGGCAGGAATTAGTTCCAAACGTATTTAGTAATGATTCAAAGTGAGTATAATCAGGAGGCTGGTAACCTGTTCAGGCCGTCTAGTATCGTGATGTTAAAAGGGATGGGTAAATACCAACCCAAATTAACCGATTAACCCCAAATTTTATGTAATAGGTATCTATGAAGAAATTTTTCTGCGTAATGACTGCATGTCATAAGTGCATATCTGTGATGCAAGATTTTACGATTCTTGCGTGGATCTTGCATCCATTGTAGATATTGAAATTTTATAAGGGGAAATCGTTATTGGAGAGTTAAAATCACATGGAAAATAACAAAATATCGCAAGATGGCGATTTTGAAAAGCACAAATACAATGCTGATTAAGTTAAACTGCCATTTTCTATTTAATTCTCTGTTAATTAGCTGCTAGTTATAGCTTTCTTTCTGAATATGCTTTGAACCCCAGACAGAATCTTAGCTTTGTTAAATCTATAAATATTATGTATTTGTTATGTGCTATGCTGTTCCAACTAAAACTTGTCGCAACTGAAGCCGTGTTATGTGCCTCGTTTTTAAAACTGGTTTAATTCGCCTACGAAGGCCTGGAAGTGGCTCACTTTGATGATCATCCAAAGTCTGTTAGTTTTTCATTAGATTTGAGGATCAGAACTAACAATAGTTTGCTCTATTTACATTTTGCATCATCGTATTCTTTTGGCAAGGGGCACCGCAATAGCTTGAACGTACACGATCCTATATTGGAATCTTCTTGCACAACTGAGTTGGCTGCCGGCGACGAATGTATGAGCCGAGTAAGCCCAGCTATTTTTCTTAAAAATCAAATTTCCCTTCGCCTGTATGAGTCAGAGAACTTCTCAAGCGCATTATTAAGTTATTATTAAGCACGCCTTCGCCGCGGCAATAAGCAAACTACAGCAAAAAGAATGAGGGAAAATTCCGCGTTTATGGGTGTGTCTTTGTAGCAGGAACCTTTGGCATAAGATGTCTTCCAGGACAGTGCTCACTAATTGCTGGGTCACTCGAGTATTATACTTTTTCAGTATTAACTACATATTGAATTGGCTATGATCATTTGTGAAAGTAATTCTTTTGAATAGCATATAAAGTGTTTATTTGTTTATAATAATATTTTTATAAGTTTATTTAAAAAATACCTTTCGTGAGCAGTACTCACATTACTAAACGAGCACCAGGCAATCGGATCTTGCCGTCAAAACACCTGGCATCATACCTGTTATTTGTTAGCATCTTTACAGAGTGCTAGAAAAAGGTGAAACCCTGGCACGGGTGAAGAGTGTCATTATTGTGGATGCTGAAATTGGTTGTGGCACGCATTATATGGCACCTTACGAACGTTATGATGAACTAAGTTATCGTATATTCTAAAGAGCAACTCAGTCATATAAATAAAAATTACGCGATTTACTACCTCGAATAGTATTGATCAAACAGTCCAAAGTCAGTATAAATTGTTTCATTATATCATTTACTTCTTTATAATCTTATATAAGGATAAAATTAATGCTCCGCAGAATAAGTACGCATGTGATAGGATGGAGGTAGCTTCTATGATACCGCGGCCAGGGAGTGAACATAAAGAATTGGTAAAACTAGAGGAGTTGTCAAATCAAAACAGCTATATCCTTATGAAAAAAGCGTCGTAAAATCAACCTTACCCTAAGGCAAAGCTGGTGTTCCCCAGGGCAGTGCATTTTCCAAGCCTTATTTATGCCCTGCATGTTGAATTGTGGACAAAAGGGATATGACGTGTACAAACGGTAAACAGAAAAAGCTGAGTAAGAAACACATTGTTGAAGAACGAAGAGCATCACAAATAAGATCATATAATGTAAACATGGAGCAATCGAAGCAAACTTATGCTCACATAGGATAAAAGCGCTGGATCTACTGGACAGAAGTTCAGTTTTGAAACTAATATGGCTTTAAACAGCGTATTTCAAAACCTGAGGCCAACATTTCTCTCAGGAAGATAATTGAGCACCGATACTAATTTCATGCTAACAATTGAAAGTGGCGCTTTTTCAACACAATTTGAATTAATCACATCTATTTTTCAGTGTCATAATGCTATTATTAAACATATTTTCCAATATGCCGGACAACCTAGAAGCGGTTACGTAAACGTCTCTTTCTCATTATTCATCGAACATCGGCCAAACATCAGGTTAAACTGGAAAATCATTGAAACAAATTCCGGTTTTAGTCTCCTTCCTTTAATACAGTCCTTGTACAATTGTTATCCTGATGGACCTCAAAAAGTAAATGGTTTTATAACTCAGCTGTAGGATGTTTTCACAACAAGTGCTCGAAACACCGCGACTGCTAACCATAGCACGGGTTGAACACCAATACAAAACAAGTTGATACATGTTTTTTAAGATGCTTTCGGGCATCTCTTAGTATATTCTGGCGAGGAGCAAGTCTGTGATTTCACTGTGTTCGCATGCGATAGAGCAGTTCATGGATAGTGAAAAAAGATATGAACCTACTCTATGACACCATAGATTGCAATACCTTTGCCGTACACTAAGCTTGTGAGAGACATTTCTCGATAAATATTCATCGGACACTGACACATTGCAATGCATACATCGATAAATTTCTGAAATGAATAATTTAGCAATCATAAGTTTGAGTTCAGCGGGGCAGAGCTTGCAAGAATTCCACACCTTAAAAACCAAGTTTTGTGTGCAGGCTTGGTGATCGAAAAGCTTAATTTTAGCGCTTGCACAGTTGAAATAAGTATCGATATAACTGTGGCCACCATTTTTAGGCTCACCCAAGAGGATCTACATCAATACCGTTATCGACGCGTTCAAGCTATGAAAACAATTGGCCATCCATGCCGTGTAGAAATCTGTCGGCCGTTTTTTGATCACAGGGGAGGCGAGATGAACCTAACTCCATTCTACCTCCAACCTAACCATCAGAGCCACCTTTACATAAAAAAGCATGTCAGATATTACGCATTGGTGATCCATTTAGATACTAATATAACACATGGCGGAACGGTTATAGACACGTTTGGGAAGAGCTAGTCAGCAGTTTTCGCACAGGTTTTTACCTGTCCTCGATTTGATTTAATTTTTTTAACACTACTTCAGCTTCAGTTTTTCTTTTTCGGCGAGAACTGACCTTTGAACATATTTTTTCGGTATGGTGTAAAGAACCTGTTCTACTAGAAAGGATGGTTCGGGTAAGCCTTGCTGAACTTCTTTTTTTTCGGCAGACCCATAAAAGAGCAGAACAACCCATTCCTTTGTGTCCATTTTAGCGACAATTCCTGGTATTTAATTTTTACCTATTGCTTACTTATTGACCAGCAGATTTTGTATTCAATCTTGTATACGAATTTTTCGTTGAACCGCAACAAGCCCTGGGCGTAGAAATTTGTGCTACTGTCACCGAAATTCAGGGAATAATAGCAATATGGAAGTACGTCGCTCGACTCTCATCTGCATCAAAAATAGGTTATGTTTAATAGTCTCTATTTCGGCCTTTTGTTGGGAAAATACCCTACACCGGAGCTGTAAAATCATCTACTTTTTAAATTTCAGTAACATAGCAGCCTCCATTAGAAAAAAAATATATTTCTAGACTATAAAACAGGAGCTTATTTCTATATATATATATATATATATATTTTTTTTTTTTTAATTTTAGTGTATGTTTAACTGATATTGATTGGACTAGAAGAGTATGATTCTTGCGTAATAGCCTTTATAAAAGTCGCTTGCCATACTGAAAGCCTCTCTAATAATTCTATATAAATGCTACAATAGCAGAGATGATCAATACGATTTTTATACTTTTGCACCTATTACTACCATTTGCTTTCACTTAGGTACCTCTAAACAAATATCAGGCAAAAGCATTTCGTTTTAGTCTCAAACTAGCGGTTCTTAAATTTTACTTTTAAGCGACAAAATGATTATCGTCGCTTTACGTTGCAATGTGACAAGCGCCTTATTTAGGGGGTTCTATCAATACCTCGAAAATCTATTTCGAGTTTTGAAACACCCTATATAAGTCTAAATATGGTAAATATTCACATCAAAGGCTTTCGATAATCGAAATTAGAAGATTAATTAAGGTTAAATATGACCTTACATGTGTCAGCGATCAAGAGACCGCTTTGATACAAGAAAGTAGTATTTCAAAAGCTATGGTATGATATAAGGAGTAATGAATGATGATTAACCTTGCATTTGGGGCTGCTAACAGGGTGACGTATTTTTTAGGGTAAATTACAGGTAACACTCCAAACCGTTGGCGATGTAAACGATGATTTTTCAATGGTTTGGTAAATTCAGGAAATATCTGCATCCAAGGACTCTCATTTAAAGCCAGCTCTAAGATTTTACGAAGTAAATTAACTAAAATGTTACTATGCATTAACTTCTTATAGGAATGGGCTACCAATGCGGGAATCTATTAGATGGATAAAATATTTACCAAAGAAAGCAAAGTGCGTTCACACTATTCGCCACGAACTTTAATGCTAATTACTATAAGAATATGTCCATTGATCTATTGCGTTTTCCTTACAGGTTCTGAGTAACTCTCGCGAAGTCGTCCGCCGTGCAAGAAGAATATCATTGTCGAAGCTGCTTGGAAATCTTTGACCTATTATTTACAGCATATTTTGTTAAATTTTTTTTCATTTCGACCCTACCACCCGTTGCTAGAAAATTTAAATGATTTTGCTCTTTTTTTCTTAACCTTTTTCCGCTTGCCTAATATTCCTGCATGAATTGAGCGTCGATATAAACAAAAGACGCTTTTTTTTGTTCTTTTCGCAACTTTTCAATCCGGGCAACCTCGGAATCAGTTTCCAACAAAGAAATATTGCGCATGTTCACAAATTGCAATCATTTTTAGCATCATAAAATAAGTTACTTTTTCGGCTATTTTATGTCCTGTTCTGTGTCTGCTGACTCGCTTAATTCATCCAACTGGGCAGCTCTACTCAACTGGTTGAAAGCTGTGCCTTCGCCACCTGCGCGAACATCGACCCCTGCTGCTGTATCTTCTTCAGCAAGAGCGAGCAGTCCGGCAGGGGGTGGATGCACTAGTTCTGGCCAAGCGGCACCAGCGAAATCTGTCGGATCAAGTGGAATTTTACTTGTTTCATCCCCACTGGCGACATCTACGAACTCTGCATCGTCGCTAACGAACCCGACGAATGCCGGCGTGATGGCCGCGGCCGATTGTCTGACTTCGCTGTGTATCAACCATTCGAGCAGCAATTCCGGAGGACAGCAGACAGGAGTAGGCAGCGGCCCAGGTATCGCGGCAGGAGATTCCGATGAAGACACTCCAGCGATTCTTGGCGATGAACGCCGCAAAGACCTAGCCAAGAGTTTCCAGAGGGACGTTAGTGGAAAGTTTAACTGTGCCTTCTGCCCGTACTCGACGGAACATCACGGCAGTATGAAAAACCATCAGATGACACACACTGGTAAGCTATTAGCTAACTAAGTAGCCCTTTACTGCTCATTATTGACAGAATAGGATATTGTGTGCATTACTAAGTACTGGGCTAACCAAAGTCTTTATTCTTGTTCTTTTTCGAAAACTGAATTTCGTGTTCAGTGAATAATGCTCTGAACAAGCCGATATTTCGGAAAACGGCTGAACCTGTTTGAGCCGACTTTGTCCAATTGAATGAGATCTTAAGAACAATAAAATAAATAAATAACCTTAACGAACAACCTCTTCTTGTTGGTACATGCGTTTTGTATGTCTTTTTGTTAGCAGAGCTGAGCGAGCTGTGCATATGATAGCAAGGTAGTTCCAATATAAGTAATGTGGCTTTAAACAGGTATTGCCAGACAGTTAGATTGGGCGTACAGTACTGTGGGTCGAAGTTTTTTTTTTGGAAGCATCGTAAGTGCGTCGCTGAAGAGAACAGCAACACTATCCTAATGTAATAACTGCTCTAATAATTCGTCAATGTTAGGTGAAAAACCCTATGAGTGCGGTACTTGCGGGAAAAAGTTCATCCAGAAAGGAAACTGGCGACGCCACGAACTTCGTGTCCACTCCGCGCAGACAGCCCCGAAAGGGTTCACATGCCCTCAGTGTTCCAAAGCTTTTCCCGAACTTCACCTCATGACAGCTCATCACATCACAGCTCATCTGTCACCGCACGGGCTTCTTGCCAACGGCGCTGCCAATGCCGCAGCGCAGCACTTTAAAAAGGACATATGTAAGTGCAACCCTTAGTAAAGTGTGTGTGTGTGTGTGTGTCTACATATATCGTATACTAACTGTTATAAGTTATTTAAAATTGTTTCACATATGCCCATGCGCCACATGATAAAGTTGCACTTAATCAAATTACGCGTACGATCTTATGGGTTACAGTTTCCTAATCTAGTCGTTCTTATCTAATCACAGTGTCTATTTTGGATGCTACGTTGAGCGGTGTTAAACGCAAGGATAAGACGTGTGAGGTTTGCCTAAAACAGTTTGCCTCGCGGCATGACATGGAGCGACACATGCGAGTTCACACCCGTGAGCGGCCGTTCATTTGTCCTTTGTGCACTACTGGCTTCACACAGAAATCCTCCTTGAAGTCGCATCTCTACTCCGTGCACAATCTTTCTACACCAGGTAATATGTAGGCCGGCAAGAGAGAGAACAACTACCAGTTGTCGAGATATCTGCAGCTCTCAGTGGCAACGCCTCATAATCGAAAGATAATCGTGATGCACGAAAACAAAAAAAGTTACTAACAGGTTATAATTTTGTGACGTTTGGCTTATCCGTCTCTGAATCTACATCACTAAAACGAACCAAACTTGTGCAAAGTAGCATATCGTGTACTCTGATCTGAGAGCTAAACTGTATCGTTCAAGAGAAACCCTGGGGAAAAAATACTATGGCAAGCAAAGGGGAAGTTGTAAAGTTCGCGGCAATTTATCTTGAAGCCAGCACTTGGCCGAAAAATATACACAACGAACTAAACCAGCGGCTGCTATCGATCACTACAGCGCCCGTAGGCCAATCGTAAACAGACCAACCGCGTTTAGACAGAGATCACTGATTGTCATCATCATAATAGCTTAGGACTGACGCAACTTGAAGGGTAATGTCGATTTTGTAGAAAATAACCGCATACACACAAGGAACACATAAGCATGTTCGTACAGATTACTATTACAATCATGCACATAATGCAATCTAGTGACAATTATAGGAAGAAAGTGGTTTTTAGAAACTAAGACAAATTTGAGATGCGATAACATGAGTCGAGTACAATAGGGGCAGGAGTAGCGAACGATCAGCTAGTTCTGCCCCTTCCAAAACTGATGCATTTATGATAAGGCCAATGCTATAGAATTGTCTGCCGACCGCAGTGTGGCCATGGTGTAACGAATGGTTCTCCCTAATGCAGAGAACTAAAGCAATATGTCTATATACATATAATATATATATATATATATACAATACATGAATGTAGATTTCAAACACGAGTGCCATTACTGGGAGGGCCTTTCTCCTACCAACATACATTCATAACTATATATTATAAGTGTAAGAAAACTGTTAGGACCGGGCATAATTTACAATTGTTAGTCGTAGACAATGTGCGCACGCACATGTACACGTTTAGGAAGAGATGTTGTAGTCATTTCAGAGGAGAAGGTAAGCGACAAAGTGAATAGCCAGTTTCGATCGAACGCAATTTCGATGCAGTAGATGAGCTACTTGTGAAGAACAGAGGACACTTCTTTACTATGGCGATGTACTTATTCACCTCTACCCGCGATGCCTCTGAGATACATACACGCATACACATCTAAATAGAGACAATGCAATAGCCTAATGCATGCTGGCCGACAACGAGAACTAGAACAAGTGGAAATCGTTTTGCGGAAGTTGAGGGAGAACGTGCGAGCAAAAATTCATTTTTTAAGAGTGTCATGCATGAGTTTTATAGTATTGCTATACCTATTACTACAGAGATTGTCCACGAGGTTTACTGATTGTGTAAGAACGGAGACACGGCTAAAAGAGGTATGGTTGAAAGATGCGCGAGCGAGAACCACATGAATGGAAGTCGTTATATATGAATTAATAATGATGATAGCAACAGATGTCTAAGCGTTTTGGCTAGAAACTTGGAGAAGCCACTTGTTGAAGAGACCAGTTTGATGTAGATTATAATGAGGCCTAGTCTACGTGTCTGTATGTGTACTAGATCCGGCTGCACGCGACACGTAACACTAATGTACAATAAATTAGCTTACCAATGATAAGAATAATAGTTAGAAAATCATATGCAAACAAGATGGATAGCAATGTATTCTATGTATTAGAACGTCACATCCATGTAAATAGTGGAATGTTATAGTGAAAATTAGATTTGGGAGGCAAAAGCAGCTGTTAGGAGCACGAAGTGCTTGATGATATTATTTAATGGTACATAGAGCCAGAATGACGCACGATATGCATCAAAACATGCATCGTTCGTTCACGAAGGATGACAAGCAAGATAGAAAAAGTAGCACAAACCTAAGCAGATAATGCCCCCAACTAAACCATTGGCTCCGCGCCAGGGCAATATACGACCAAGATATCCTCGTTATATTATAAAACCGCAGAAGAAACGAAAATGTTTAGAAAGTGATCGCTTGGCCATTGAATACAGTTTCATGTGATGATTACACGTTAATGCACGTTTGTTCACGTGCATACTATAAGCGTTGTTGGTAACTCGACGGTTATTTCGCATTTGTATGTTAAGTATAAAATAGATGGACGTGGCCGTTGGTGACACGTTGGGAGCAATGGGTTTAAGATAATTGGCAATACCAAACGTCAACGTTCCACAGCATTATACTTTTCCTTGATTGAAATCGAACCTATGTGATAGTGAACCACAGATCTCAAAAGAATGTACTGCAAGCAATGTATGTAATCATATCGTGTGTGGCTCAAGAGTGACGACTAATACGCCAAAGGAAAATAGAGGTTTTTTTCAACAAACTGAGACCAATCGGTGCAATTTGAATATTCTCTCTTGTGTTATTAAACCCTGCGAATTTATGGGTATAACCGAAACACAGTTAGGATATTTTACATTAATTTCGTACAGGCGTTACAGTAATGCTTCTCTTGTGACACAGTATAACTCCACCATAGACTACTACGAAGCTAAGTCGCCGGATTTCCTAGCTAGGTCCTTGCCACTCGCGTTGGCACGTTTACAAGGTGCCAAATAAACCGCTAAATTAGCTGCACCGATCAACCGGCTAAACCTTATTCAGCACTGTCCGACACTGCGTACAAGGAGACCCCGAACCTTCTTGCATCTTGAAATTCCAGCGAAAGCAATTATTTTTAACTTCTGTTCGGTGATAAAGTCCTAGATAGGCTTCTCAATGTATTCGTTCCGACATGCAATGATTGATAATTAAATAGAGAATGAAGTACGAACAATCTCTCAAACCTAATATGCATGTTCAGCTGCATTCAAAAATCTGTTATACAATGTTTCGGCTACTATAGTGGCAAAATATAGGTGAAAGATCTATGTTTATTTTATCCAGCATTTACTATTAAGATAACAATATACTGTTCCGAAGCCTACCGATTTGGGATCGTGGCTTCGTTAGTCGGGCATATTTCTATAACAAATGTTATTGTCAAAAGTACAAAAGCTAGTTGGAAAAGCGGCAACCAACTTTCCATATTCTTCCAATAATAATGAAAATTGCTATATACTATATCGCTAACAACCGTTACCTTCGATCTAAACGAGATCATCGAGCGGGCGACTCGATCCTTATTTAAAATTCAATATTTGCTATAATATACATAATCGTTAGAACATGATCTTTACCAATAACGAACTAAAATAATATAAATGCCACCAGCCATATAAAACGAAGACCCTTCTATAATCTACATTGTAAAGAAAAAGTTCCTGCGTAACCGAGGACAAAGTGAGCTTTTAGTGAATATCTTATCTTTACTGCACACTGTCTGTAAAAAAAATCCGGTTATATACTTTTGATTGTTTGGTCAGCTGTCTGCGAAGTTTTCATCACAATTCACGTCAGCTTTTCAGCCACCCTGTACCCCGCATTTACTAATGTTTTTGCGAGTAGTGACATATATATATATCACAAATGAGTAACAAATCAATTTAAATTTATCACACGAGCGGTTATCCTGTTGATTGGGTTAGTTAGCAGTTTATTTAATGTTAACACCGCGTATTATGTTGTCGTTCATTACACAGATCGATGCCAACAGCAGCACCACTTGTGTTGTTATATATATATATATATATATATATATATAGGATTATTTACTGTTAGGGTAGATCGTATTCTTTTCCTAGATTGCTATATAGACATGGCTAGTCGAAAACGATGGGAATATGTATAAATATACACATACAGAGAAACCCAATATAGATACATATACACACAGCCACATCGTAGAACAGCAGTGCACATACTAGTAAATTTAAGAAACTATTAATGACTTAGGAATAAAGTACTAGCAGTAATTATAATGGCGATCAGACTGACTAAGTAGGGAAGAATCATGAAGCTACATTTAGTAGTGCAATTAAACAACGACGCCATTGTAAGAGAACGCCACACAAATGTAGAGAAATCAATTTAGAAGACAATATAATAGCATGTTGATAAATTCACTTGCGGTATAGTAAACAGGGATGCAATTGTCATAGATACTAACAAACACAGCATATAGATTTTTAGACTCAGCCACTACTCCCGACCACCCATCCCTCAAAATGCGTTATTACTGTGGGTGATTGTATCTATAAATTGTGTACAAGATTCGAGCTTGGAATAATGCGTGAGTGGGGGTTTGCCATTGTATGCTAGTTCGATATGCATGTGAAACAAGAACTGTTTGTAATGGTCTTTCTACACAATGAGTGTGGAACTCCCTACCCAGAAAAATCGGGTTTCTAGATAAGTGCCATACTTAGCAAAGAGCGCACTCACCCAGGAAGCTCAGTTTGACTGTTGGAAAGAACGTGTTACTTCACAGTACATATGTATATTTAACCAGAATCGAATCACGCCCGATATGGCGTCTTCGCTGTATCACTACATAACGAATTGTTGAATATCAAAAAAAAAAGCTGTAACAAGACACATCAGTAAACGTAAAAACGTTTAAAACTTTTCCCATGAGACAAACTTGCTAACATGCTATTATTATTATTTCTGTCATAATTAAGAGTGGCGGTTTAATCGAATGTAATACAAAGCCATTTGACACGAATCGAAAGCTACGTAATGCAATCGTCCTTCACATAGGCGATAGAGTCTCCCCAGTTTTATATCGTCAGCGCCACCAATATTAAAGGAGGCAGGAAACTAAATGAAAGAATGGCGTGAAGGCTAATTGTACCAGTTGCCAAGGGGTTTGCTATGTTACAAACATTCAAATTCTGAAGACCTAGTTGTAAAAGAAAGCACGATTTATATATGCATAACCGGTCATCGAATCTTGCAGCAGCAGCAGCAACATTCGAGAAGAGGCAGTTGACGCTAAGGACTTTACGAAGGGAATATAAACACGTCTACTTTGAAGGTCGCTGTATTAAGAGATCATGGTTTTCGCCTTCGGAAACTGCGCCTTTGTCAACTTAGAAAATACTATATTATGGTTCTTAAGGGTAATAGCTGATCTTGAGCTAATCAGTTGATTGAAAACCGATTTTTGTTCTCACTACAGAACTTTATCTTCTTGGAGAACACTAACTGAACCGCAGTATCTCAGTGTAAGGCTCGAATCTAATGTTTTGTCAAACAGCAGCTATGCAGAATCAATTCATATTTACAATGCTTATTATAAATGTATCATAATGATATTTAAGCTTAACGTCTACATCGATTCCTTTAACCTGAGATTTTTGTTCACACTGGTATCTCTGACAAGAAACAAGCATACGTTTATGAAGCAGTCCAATGTTGGTGAAGCTTTTTGCTTTTTCATGAAAAGGTAGACTAGGTACATTTTGAAAAGTAAGAAACATCAAAACACGATGGATTGAGACCGTAGCCCTTTGAAATTAACACATATGAATAAGAACCAAAGTGCAAACTGACGGCGGGTTGTAATTTAGATATTATACAATACTGTAAATTATAAAAATTATGTTTTTCCAAATTCTTTATTCGTGCAAGAACCCTATTTCCATTTAGCAAGTGTCTACTAAGCGCTGACTTTTTCAGATGCCAAAAGGTTACTGAACTCACATGCACACAGTGTGGCAACATATATACACAGCAATACAAGGTTTCCATAGCATTTAGTCACTTGGTAGCTGAATGCAGTTAATGCAATGTTAAGCCATCTGGTTTCTGGGGGAAGACGAACTGTTAAGAAGTTCTGACCAGCAATATATTAGATATATATACGTAGAGCACGTTAGCTAATTATTACTGGGCTTTTATAAGCGAACCCGGCGGGCTTTGAACTTGAAGAACTTTTAAACTGCGCACCACTCGCAAACAAGACTTGGCTGGCAAATACTCCAATCTTCTAAAAATTTGTGGGTAAAAACCAGTTGAGTCTATCATTAATTCATTATATAATTAATAGATAGAATTATAATTAAATCAAGAAATTAGTTTAAAAGTTTCGAGAACGAAGACTGGAGTATTGAAGACCAGTGAAAAGGTAACCAGACGTTCGCATCCGAAGGACGAGAATGCATTGGCGTTATTAAAGAGGTTTTCCACGAAAGCAGAGTTTGAAGTCTAAGGGCTCTGTCGGCCAAAACTAGAATTTCATATGTAACATCTCATAGAATTATATTCCAAATACATAAGTAAAGTGTTTTTAAATTTTAAGAGTGTTTTGACTCCAGGCCTAATGGCGATGCGTCTGGTATGTCCCACGAACGATTTGCGATATAACACTATTCTCTACCGCCGGCTCGAGAGGGGTCATACGAGAAAATGGTGTTGTATAAAGAGAAAGTGGGTCTGGTGGCAGTGCCGAGACACTCATTCATAAGATAGTAGTATTTGTAATGGACATCAGAGACATCTACTACCAGAGGATATTTACCGAAAATGAAACAGGGACTAAAGCTTGCCCTAAGAAACTAATGGACCATTGAACCGCATTGATTATTTGGTGACAACGTCAAGCTTCAATTACTGAATTAGGCGAAAAGATATTCAACATTGGCTTCAGCCCGCTTATTCGCCTGATCTAAGGCTGGGTGATTATTACAAAAGAGCAACTAGAAGCCAAGCATATCTCACTACAGATTTATTACCAGAGGGTGTAAATAAAGAGAATTACATACGGGACTCCGAATGGTAGGTATATGCCTGTCCAGGAGCTTCAAGAGCAGTGAAATAAGGGGGTAAAAAATGAAAGAGAATAGCCCTAATTCGTACTAAAAGACCATCATTCTAACCCAATCAGTTAAAAAGCTATTCAGTTTTAAAGTTCGCTAGATTCGCTTATAACAGCCTGATAAATGTTTACAGCGGTAAGATGCGTGAATAGCTGAGAGGAAAATAACTGTAGGAAAGCGATGTACAACAGCAGAGCATGATGCCACTAGAAGTTATATAAACATTTTCCGCGATAAAAACACGAGTCCCACATAATGTGTCAGTTTAGTTACTACTGTATTTAGGCTAGCGCCCGCCGTCATCAAAAATGCAACCTGTGGAAGAGTGGAGATGTACATGTGTTTTAGATCAAACGGTAGCAGAAACAACAATTGCTGCAGCCGAAATGAGAGTATGGTAAAGTTGAATGTAGAAAGGACACAGGGACTTGCAATACAAAGAATAGTAATAATAATAACTAATATTATTATTACTAGTGTTACTATTATATAATAGATACAAAGGTACTATACACCAACGGACACGATACACAAAGGCAAACACCTACAAAAACATATATATACCTGCAACGACAATATACGCGGAATATATCCATACCGATGGCAAGCAGTGTATGCATTTGGTAGATACATAAATATTGAACCTTCTATATATGAAGATCAGTGGGCGAAAAACAATGGATGACAACGCTGAAACAATATTAATGATGATGACGATAACAAAATGAACGAAGCATTTGTCATGTAAATAAATGTGTTGGTAGTTGTCTACAATAAATAAGCAATACATACTTATTTAGATAGATGAATACTGTGTATTCTACACAGAGGTACTATATCTGCATTAGGATTATTATTATTCTAGAAATACGAATTTACATTCAAATACAAAATAATATTTTTTCCTGCATAATACATTGGCTATGATTCCGCTGCATGACAGTCACATTCGACCGCATTCAATGTATTAATATATCTTGTCAGACTTCTATCAAAATAACGTGCTTCGCTAACATCGGAGTTATAGAAACACATTATGAATATCAGCTTCTTGGGAGCTGTTTGTGGGTAGGCTCCAAATAGCCTACACATCTGTGCACAAACGCAGTTAGCCGCCGAGGACTCTCTCCGTGCAAATTCAAAGAATATAGGCAGCTAATTGGGACCATGTACTTCAGAAACATTACTAGTATTGCAAAATATGTATCTGAATTTCTCTACCAGCACTTTTTAAACAAGTTGGCTTTATTCAATAGATCATGAAAGCAGGAAAGCTTTAATAGGAGTGCTATGTGTGGAGTACCCTACCGAGGATTCCATCACAGCGCGCGTGTTCGAGAATCTTGCTGTAAACCGAGAGGCGAAATTGTCTATGGAGCCTGCACTGCGAAGATCGTATAATGATCTTTTACCTAGCAATACCCGATATAATACCACAGTGTCATAGTGTTATATCGGCGAGCAGTTAAGCAAGCATTTAAACAGCAACCAAAATTTTTGACGGTAAGTGATCTATAATTCACGCGAATAAACTGCTTTTAATTTAGATAGTAAAATAAGAGCAGGCCGGACACCACTGTCTTTGACACCTCGTATATTTACCTCAACTCGTGTTTCATCTGTATAAACGAGTACAAACTAATAATGTAATAAAAATACGCTTGTAATTCGAAATAAGGCATTAAATATTTATGACTCTAATAAAGTTGTTTATTTCCGATCAACCATTACCATGACAAAAACACTTAGTGGTGGCAAACGCCACAAATCTGTACAAGATGGCCAAACCGCTTATATCTCAAAGATGAATATGTGTTACATTTACGGCGGCTCGACACGCCAGTTAGCACATAATGTACCGAAAATTCTTTACCAATTACATGATGTAGTGACAGAATGACATACGTTATGCGTAAAAGCTAAATACGGCCATTAATGATTACAGCTATTTTTACAAGCGCTTGGCTTTGCGAGGCCGAGGTGGCCGCTCCGAGGCTGGTGTGCGATCAGTGATCGACACAATGTTGATACCCGTCATCTCGAGACCTTTGATCGAAGCGTGACGTCCCGGACCAAGTCCCTTAATAATAACACGCACGTCGTTTAACGAAAATGACAGTGCCTTATTAGCCAACGCGGCCGCGGCGGCTTGCGCAGCAACTGTCGTCCCTGATGCAAAAACAAAAATCAATTTAAGAAAAAAAAAGAGTTAGATGGCAGGATCTGTACCCGAGGCGACTATCTTTGACTTCTATGCAAGAGAGGACAGAATACACAACGGCAATGATTGCAGGTACTATAAATTAAAGTCAGAAGATAATTGCAACGATCGTGAACACATGCTATGTAGAGCTATCTATAAAGAGTACGACTTTTGTGTGAGCTTAACTGGTTGGGCAAGCCATAGAACACAAACCTAAACATAAGTACTTACTCAAAACACATTTACCGCTAGAACATCGTTATGGAATTGAAGATGATCTATGACTGAAAATTTCTATTTAATTCTGTATGAGCCCAATGTTAAGTAACCGCATGGTCACATGTTGAAGTTGATAGGTGACCTTTATAAAGGCAAGAACTTATAGCTTATGACTTAAAACAAACCTTTTCGAGCATTTTTGTATCCCTCGGTTCCACCTGAACGAATATAAATGTGCTTTCCTTTAGAGTCCGTTAGTGCACATATTGTGTTGTTCAGGGAGCATTTTATGTGGACTATGGGCAGGTCAGGGAAAAGAACCCCATTTATCCGTAGATCTGTGAATGTTGACTCAGTAGGGAAGCTGTAGGAGCAAGAAAGCAACCAAGTAAGTGTAAGCCGCCAAATGCAAACAGTATGACTGCACAAAGAGTCCGTTGGTACATAGAAAAAAACTATTCTTAGATTTCGATTCTAACAGAATTGAAAGCCACCCATAACTAATTTGGATTCATCTTTATAGGGATATAAGTATCGCATATTGTAACGTTCTTGTGCAGGTATAATCAAAGTACTATTTAGTAGTTTTTTTTTGTAGTAAATCTCCAGTGATCTGCTACCTTCTTTGGCCGATTCTTCCAAGTAAGTTCTTTCTATTCAACGCCATGGGAAGCACCAGGAAGACAGCATCGGCTGTCTCGCTAATAACATATCTGCCTAAATGAACGGATGCTTCATTTACCAGTGGCGACGGTAACGCATACGACGATAAAAAATAGCAGCGACTTGAGGACGGTGGGTCGTAGTTCGTTTAAACTACGCTCCACCGCCCATGTATATAACATGTCAATCGTTCCTCGTATTGATTAGATGCTACTATCTACCAAGCGTTCGCTGCGTATTTACTTGGAGAAACCAGAAGCTTCCTAATTCTATTTTTATTTGGCGAATTTTGCAACTGTGGTATTCTGCATCGGCCTGCGCTTCGACGACTATTTTGAACTTGTTGAAAAAGTGTTTACTATTCGTTTCTAATTAGATTAACACGAGCGCAATTACCTTTTTTTACAAAAAAAAAATATCACAGAATGGCATTTTAGTATGCAGAACAAAGATGTGCCGTGAGTTTTCAACTCGGAATCAGGATATTTCGCTTTGCGGTATTCAGCAAAGAATAAAATTATCTCTTAAGCATACACTTAGATGAAAAAGAACTGCAGATATAGAAAGATACATTGTTGATAGTACACCCCATTCAACGCGTGTTTCGTTCACCTTGCATCTCTGTTTTTTCCACACATTTCCACACTTCCAACACCCTCGACACCCTCGTCTTTTCTCGGCATCGATTTTAACCACGATCGATGGTCATATTCTTTCCACTTTTGGAATACAGTGCCCCGGGTAAACGACCGAATATTTGGCGAAGCATTTTTTATTCGAAAACCCGACAAAACTCTTGAAATCCACATCGCGCACCTCTCTTCTTTGTGGTACTTGTATGTCAATATGAGTGATACATGTGGTGCCCTGTGGTGCTTTTGTAGTAGTCGCTGAACAATATTTACTAAACAACTTTAAGAGCGCTATGGATTTTTTTCTAAACAAACAATAAATCTCTAATTTTATTGTATAGATTCGATAAATAAATTGACATGTACAGTAGCTTAGTCTTTACAAGCAAAAAGTCGAATTTTGATGAGCACGGCGTGGCACTATTTTTGAAGCTGAGCGCCTTCGAAGCTGTCTTCCGGTTTCACATATTGTCTCGCGTCCTTTTTCCGGTCTCTGTGGAAAGGTACGGCCGATCGTGGTGAAGCGAGTAATAGAATTTCCAAGTTTTCAACGCAATGGCCTTTTACATGCAACAAAATTAAACACAACTTAAAGCTCATTAATTGACCTGTGTTATTGGATGTAATTTCAATACCAGCCATGTGTTAAAGTATGTGATTTCCTCGGATTAAATGTTATACTACGGACGTATCGTAGACGAAGGGCTCATAGGAACCTTGTGTCACACGTGAAGAACAATATCGCCCTTCTGAATTGAAGAAGTGCCTGCAGTTGTATTGTCTTTCCCGAGTGGCTTCATTAAAAAAGGTTCATTTGTGTTGCGCAGTCGTTTCTTAGCTCCAAACTCTTTAGATTCTACTAGCCATGAAGCTCCATCTAATGCAGTCTGTCTGACATGCTTTAGGCAGAGCTTCTTCAAACGGAAAGTAGTAGGAAACAAAACTGCTTAAAAGAGTCATACACGTGAGATCTCTGAAGTGGCTTTGTCTCACATTATGATACTCTATTGAATAATATTATCATATTCCGCGGGACCGTTGAAATAGACCGTACTCACGGTAATCGCGTACAATATCAAATGAACTGAACACTTCTGTGGTGATTGTGTCTATATCAACAAGACCGGAATATTCCTTGCTTCTTAGTGCTTACTATGTCTTGTACGTACACTCGTAATTCAGTTTGTTCTTGCAGATGTCAACGGCAGGATCGAAGTGCATCAAGCCGGGCGGCGAAAAGCCGGATGACTTTGAGGAGCAGGTGGCCAAAACGCTCCTGGAACTCGAGGTCCACTCCGAGCTTCGTGGCAACCTTAAGGAGCTCTACTTTGTGTCCGCTAAGGAGATGGAGCTTGTTGACAAGAAAGCTGTTTTAATCTACGTGCCCTACGCCCAGCTCAAACAGTACCATAGGATTCATACCCGTCTCGTACGGTGAGTAACGCATGGTACAGACCAATTCAACGGTTATACAGAGCACTAATAAAATACTAAAAAAAACTAATAACACTATCGGTGTCACTGTCGAAGCAACAACTGATGGTAACCAATAGATCGAAACGACGACCAATCTTGTTCCGCAACGGGCCTTATCTGCCAAGGACATGACAATGCTATTGAGATTTAGAAAAGGAGCTAATATATTCCTAGTAATAATGAAAGTATTTCTAATCGAGTCCTTAAATCGTGGAATTAGTGGGACGTTGTTAAATCTACTGTTTTTATGTGAGTCATTAGCTTAATAGAAGAATCCGACGAGAATCTGCTTCGATTAAAATATTTCTCATTTAAATTGCAACTAAGTTTTTCCTTTTTGCGCTTATAACTATATGTCTAGTTAGTAGCATAACGACAAACCATTTGATTGACCTCAGGAGATTTTTTAGAAATAACATTATTAAGATCATCCAGCTTAGCCTAATTCGTCATACGCATTTCGGTTGTGACGTGATTTCTGTCTTATCCATTTCACTGCAGGGAGCTGGAAAAGAAGTTCAACGGCAAAACCGTGATCTTCCTAGCGCGCCGTACGATCCTTCCGAAGCCTTCGCGCAAGTGTAAAAGGCAACCGAAGCAAAAGCGACCAATGTCGCGCACTCTGACCCATGTGCACGACGCGATCCTCGAAGACATCGTTTATCCGGCTGAGATCATCGGCAAGCGTATACGTTACCGTATGAACGGTACCCGACTGTTCAAGGTCCATCTTGAGAAGTCTCAGCAGACCAACATGGAACAGAAGACTGACACGTTTTCAGCAGTCTACAAGAGACTGACCGGCAAAGAAGTCGTCCTTGAATTCAGGGAGCCCCTCGTCTAAACCAACAGCCAGCGCATTAAAAGCAAATATAACGTGTGGCTAATAAAGGGTAGAGTTCCGCAGGGAGCTCAGTGGCGTCGGCTTGACGAAATGTGTGTGTTGTCTATCATTTTACTAGCGTAAGAAGTTAGGTGTTTATGCGGTAAAGTTAATTGGGCATCAGAGATATATTTGGTATTCTCATCTTTTCTGCGATGTCGTATTTAGTGTTATGTGCCTATCAAGTGTGACAAAGCCTTGCGTGTTGACTAATGTGCCGAAAATCATAAGCTGTGCTTTCAATTACCTAGTTATTTATCATGTAGAAAACAATCCTACTGGAATGAGCAAGTAATCATGTAAAATTGCATTTTGTGTTGGCTTCCTTTAGCATCTTGGCCAGTTAAGATTTGGAAAATTAACTAATGCCTTTTACCTATGAGTGCGGCCTGTTTTGAGCCAGACAACTTCAACTGAATTTTCAGAATTAACACAGTACGTTGTCTATTGTGGTAGAAAAACAACTGGAAAGCACTGTACATATTTTCTTCAATCGGTCTTCGAAGAATAAATTGATGCAGTCTTAGCAGTGAATTTTTCAACTCATTGGTGACGACGAATCCGTTACTACCGATTACTACCAAAATTGTTTGTTTTAAAATGCGCTCCCCAGTTCTCAAAAAAATGAAAAGGATTAGTGGCCCAGTGAGATCGTTTTTGGGACAAGAATATCATCATTTTAACTATTAGCTAGAAGGGTTAACGATGAAATGTGTTGTCAACAAAATCTGAGACAGTCATTAGAGTTCAGGTACAAGCATATTAAAACTTTGCAAGTGAAAAAATAATTCTGGAAATCGTTGTCTAATTTTAGTTGTCTAAAAGCATCTAAGGAAAGAAAGCTAGGTGTTTGAGTTATATGCCTTTAAATTTTTAAATAGTATCATAGGAAACTTTTGAGTTCCCTTTGTCGCAGGGAACCTGACGTCATTATGATCACCCACATGCCCCTTTCAATTTTCTTAAATGTTTTAGGTAACTCTACTTATATTTCGAGTGCTCCACTTTATATACTATCAATCCATTATAGTCCTTTAAAAATAGAACGCAGATAAAACAGTATCAAAAAGTTAAACTCATCGAACACAATAATAAAAAACAGTAGTACTTGGGAAGCTGCATTTCGTCTTACATTGCCACTCGAAGTATCAGGGTGCAAAGGGTGCTGGACTACAAGTTCATCCGGTTATTAAAGACATTAGCTAACCGTTGGTATAGGCTTGCAGAACAAGGCTTCACCGTTTTTTGTTTGTTTTTTCAAGCATGTGACGTTTAAGAGCTTTCAGAATACCATTTCTGTGTTCAAAAGCCACATCAAACAGCATCGTTTTGTTTATTCCTTCTTCAAGTGGTCCTAGTGGATTAACGTCATTGTCATTGTCTTGTGCGTAGAATCTCTTGGGAAAATCGGTAAACAGGGCGCTTTCGCTTTACTCGGCTATGAGACCGATCATTTGTCGATCTCGAAAACATTAAGCCCCAACATCGATTTGCTTTCGATAGACGATGCAACAAGTTGTATACCAGTACGTGTATGTGTTGCTTCCGTATCTTTATTTCGTGAATCTCTTAAATAAAGCCGTCATTGCATTTTATTGTAGTTTAGCTGACTTGAATTGTGTGTCCGATGGGCTCTTATGGTTATGTAATATTCTAGCTAAAGTGACATATTACAGTTTTAACGATACATTACAGAAAAGCTAACGCGACATTTTATATATTTTGAAGATACATCGAACAACAAAAAAGCGCGATTTTTCATAGTATCGCTACGTGGGAGGTGTTTTACAAAAATTCCGCTGTGAGTTATTTTAAATTGCCTATTTCTGCAAGAACTTCTAGAGATTTCTTGAACTTTTTAAGTCATATCTATGCATGTATGCATTGCGACCGTTGCAGTGGCATAAATAGACAGTAAAGAAAAAAACAAAGCACCAAGCCCTAGGAACTACGAATCTTACAAAAATTATCGTGCATGATTAAACGTCATCTACCGTGTATTTGTGGTGTATCGATAACCTGACTTATGTATCTTTGCAAAAGAACCAAACAAAATAAGGTTGTTCGACTGAAAAAGGAAACTCCCCTAATCCAGCCAGCGGTTACCGATAAACTTCGTAGCACTGTTTCGTAGCATTTAGTCCGTGCAACAGGTATTTGCCATAATTGCACAGATTTTCGTGTTTATAATTTAGGGCAATAACCCCTCTGTTAGTGGATAGCACAAGCAGTCTGGCATCTGAGAGCAAGCCAAGAAGCTGTCCAAAAGAAAACCTATACAAAGCCATTTTTTCCATTTTTAGTGGTTGCTGTATAGCCCAGGCAGCGATATATTTGGTTTTCTAACGCTGTTTTGATACAAAGGAATGAACACTTTTTTAGCCAAGGACTGGTTTATTTCTGTGACGTGAAGCCGCTGCCCAGATTCGATTAGGTATATACTTCTATTAATTTGGATGAAAGCCTTTCTTTTAAAGATAGCCATTCCGGCACATGAAATGCTGCGAAAACTACCTATCTCTTTATTTGTTTTTGTATAGAAGGCAACTTCCCTTCAATGTGTGGTATAATTTTCTAGATATTTCAGGTGTATGAAAACAGATTTAGAAGCAATGGCAGTTTCTATTCCGGATCACTTCGTCATGCGCTTACCGATGCACTGTGACGACTTCATCGTTAAGGATTCCAGCTATATCACAATCTTCGCTTCCACCCAAGGATAACGTAATGATAGAATTACCGTCACTTTTTGCTCTTCCAATCTCAGTGGAAGTTACGCAATCAGGGATTTCGGTGCTTGCTTGTTCGACTGTTAGTCTCCCGACAGTCCTTAATGAGTTAAGGATTTTATGACAAAGATAGCAAATCTAATCTAAATGGTCAAAAATTTAAGTTTTTGATTCATTACCAAACAACTTGCTCCATTCGAAGGTCTGTGTAATGATCAATAGCCTGTCGGCAAAGGAGTTTTCTTCTAGAGAACATTAATCTCACTTGTAATAAACTGGTAAAATGACGTGCTTTTAATACGATTCCACTCGTGTGGAATGAGAATGAAGTGTGCTGCTAGAACGTGTGCCGCTTTGTCGAATGAGACCGATTATGCTGCCACACTGAGAGAAATAATATCTGCCTTGTGCTGGGTGAGAGCTGCATCAATGAAGAAGGTCCTTAGTACAGCATCAAGCATCTCGCCACCAATAGCCAATCGAACTTCATTGATTTATCTGATGTTAGTATAAATATATCTGTCTGACTTGGGACAACTCTGTGAAGTCGCCGTCTTGTATTGGCTAAAATTGCATTGAAAATAAGGCTACTTTCTTTTTTGAAAACCCAAAGATACAGAAAACTTTCAACGACATTACGCCTCAGTGCTTCGTTTGGAATTGTTACTGGAACCTTAAGATTCGTCCCAATAATCGAGAAATCTATTAAGGAAAAATTAATCAAAAAACATGGCATTGGGACTAGTTGCAAAAGATTAGTCGTCTCCATCTGATGGGATAGACGAAATCATTGATTTGGAAAACAGAGGCCGGATCGCGAGAATCATACAAATGTAGGAACTTCAGCTGAATCTTTTATCAAATAAAAGAGTAACGCCGCCCTATCAAAGTGGTAGCCCAAACAAATACTAAAGAGCTAACCGAAAACAGTAAACTATTTTAACGAAATCAAATTCAGTTTTGAGACACATTCTAATAAACTCAACAAGTAGGCGTTATATCTAGACCCACATGATACTGGAAAATTATTTACCATTCAATGCTATCTGAACTCATCAATTTTATTCGATGTGAGCTTGGTTTGAGATCTAGCTAGATTTAGAGTACTACGTTTGTATGCTTAGTTATCTTGAGACTAGCATTGGATACTGAAGAATATGTTCAGTTCTTTTGGGGTACCATAAAAATGTGTTTTATTCAAATATAACGTGCACATTTCAGTAGCAAACTTTTCGATGTTGTGCTATACTTGTATACAATATGCGTTAAAACCAGCTCTGTTCAGTCAATGATTAGTTTTCCGTAGAAAAAAATAATATTATAATTGTATAAGATTGTTATATCAGTAAATATCATACCTTTGGTAAAAGACACAAAAAAGGCTCATTTTGGTTGTTGGTTGAAATCATCAGATTTCGTTATAGGCTAGAATTTGTTCAGCCACGATATATTCGTCAAAAGTATGTCCGAAGGGTACGTACAGTGTCACGATGTATTGGCTAACCTCAACAAGTTCGCGTGAGGCATTGTCTCGACAAAATGTCAGAGGTATCTGTGATTGATCGAACTTGTTTTAGATTATAAGACATTACAATGATAATTAGAAACGGCTGGTATTTGCACTTTCAGACTTACAATTTTACGATGCTTCGGAAGTTCGTTTTGAACGCCAAACAAGTACTCGCATATGAATGTATTCAAAGCAGACGCTAAAGAGAATGGAGTGTCCTGATGCACATGCTGTAGTGTTAGCGGTATTTTGCTCATAACTTCTTAGCTATTAGTTGAAGCCTTTGGTCGAACGTTTCTTTTCGTCGATTCCATACACAAAATAAAATATATCGTTCAGTCACGTTGGGAAGTACGTACATAGACACATGTGTCACTAAACACAGCCGAAGTAAATGAGCCATTACAGATTTTTGCTAAGGCAAATCACGACTGGGTCGATGAAAATCAAATTATCAGAAGTCTGCTACAACAGAAATATCAGACAGCGTGGCAGACCGACATCTGAAATCTAAAACCCACTTAAACGTTAAGTTCGCGCCAACTAAAAATTCTACGAAGTTGGAATAGATGCGAATTATATCCGTAGGCGGAACACTGCGGTTAGTAATGAGAGCAAAATTATGTGTTTTCACTGCTTATTGATAAAGAAGTACGTAAGCCGTTCTGTACAAATTAGCGTTTATTATGGCAAAATTTAACACTGTGCATGTGTGCAATGTGTTTCAACAGAAATAAAAAGCGTAGTTCTCTTATTAGGTTGAACATTTACTGTGTATTAAATTGAATCATACAGTTCTCTATTGTGAGTAGATATATCATCGTGGTGAAGAATCTACTTGGCTAGTAGACAAAGAAAGAAATTTCTATTTTTTCCGCCTGAATGTTCCGGTATTCTTTGACCTAACTTGTTTTGGAGTGATATGTAGACGACTGGGCTCTTATCTCTACATCATACCCGTATATGATGACTTGTTGCATGCAATGACGTATGGGAACAAAACGTGCTCTCCTATGAGACGCTTTCCGGAGACCATTATCGACGTCTCCGCACCTGCTTAAAATTCTACAAAAAGATTGTTATCAAAACTTGAGGTCAATCCTTGAGGGGATGCCCGAGCTCAATAAATATATTAGTTTTTCCATGGAATTATCAGACATCGATATTAGTTTTACTGTTAAAAATTGATATTTTATATTTGAAACGAAATTGCTCACAAAATTTCGTTCGCGCGGGGTTGTACCGCATAGAGTTCGAGCGAACGTCTCGATTTCCCCATATGTAATGTGCCCAGATTGCAGACAGCAGTGTGAAGAAATAAAGTGAAATGAACTTGTGTATTTTAAGACGTTGCTACCACGTACACATCAAACGTCTTATTTGAGGTAAATGCCTTGCTATCATTCAGGTGGCATGCGGCACTGTGGAGCGGTGAATATTGAACTACGAGATCCTAAAAGATTTCCAAAAACGCAAACCTAAGCAATTCTAATGCATGATGAAATAGAATATACGTTGTAAAAAAGTGGTGAAGTAGATTTACGGGCAAAGATTTAGCGCCTCCAAGCCATTATATTAAGGATGTGCCGTTGCCCAACGCCACGAGATGTTTAATTAAGTAAAACAGGCACTGAACACTTCGTTTGTGTTCTACTTTCTCGCTTTACATTTGAACAGTTTCGAACATTTTTTACTTTTGTTCGGTGTTTTATGTTTAACACCAGCACGGTCATACACACAACTAGAAACAAATTAGCCAGCTTTATCTTTGACATAGCATGTCAAGCTTCTGATACAGTAGGTTTGTTTAGTATGAATTGCAAGATAGGATTTTTGCCATTGTGATTCTTGCTGTGTGAGTTCGAGCGTTGTCAGGCAAAAAAGAAGCTCTCTGTTTACTGATACTGGTAGCGTAATGCGGGGTTTATCAACCTCTTCTTCTTCTTCTTCTAATAATCAACAATACACTTCAGCAGTACGACGTGTCGACGAACGAGGATACACGGAGTTGTAGTGAATAAAACCTGCACTAGATCACAGAACCGACACTAAGTTTTGCAATTTCACATTTGCTTTAGGATACCGTCCTGCTGGCTTACCTACGTATACACACTAACGTGACCGTCTGCGCTAATCGTAAAATTATCCAAATTTTATTGCAAGTTAGAATTCCATGCAAGAATAGATCATTATTATAACATGGAAGCTTAAATAAGCAAGCGTATACACCTCTTCATTTTTGCACGTCGCTTAAATTATGCGGCACCGAATTTTTGACTTATTTAAAAATTTTGACCTAAGTAAAAACTGGGTCGATAGGCTTTAACCTAAAGTGCTATCTTTACATGTACCCAACTTGATTGCATCTCAGGAAGGATGTCAGCAACTATCGCATAATTACAAAGTAGCACAATTTTAAAATATAGGATTAAATTTCTTTGCATTTCAAGCTACACATCTAAAAGGAACCAATAATCGAATACGAAAAGAAGCACTGAGCAAAACTGAAAATAAGTGAGCAATGTCATAGGTACAGATGAGAGTGATACGTTAGTACCCCAAGGGTATTAGTTGCGACTTTCTCCTTGTGAAATAGGTTTTTTTTAAAACGCTAGGCCTTACTCAGGTGTAAGAAGTCTTGATTAATAAGTATGGCGAGCGTGAAGATAATTTACTCTCACTCAGTGCACAAATGTATGTGTCAGCACATGAAACTACGTTACGCGACTTGTATTCGACTCTATTACCGATTGCGTTCGTGTGGAAACCAACAAATATTTTCCACACAAACTGTGTTGCAAGAATCCACAACGAATCAAAACGCTTACGCTTGACGCGTGACCGGCGTACGTCTGTTTATGAAAAGCTGAAGCTCGGTTCTACTATGTCCCCGTAGCTGCGGCGACCTACAGATCACGTCGTGATAGAAAAGTGGAGGATTCATTAACGACAATGCAGTTGGCCTTTCCTGTTTTATGTATAACTTCATTTAGTTAAACGCGGTCATTACGTCACTACTTTATATGAATGACTGGTATACTGCAGATTATTTTAACTAGAAATCAGATAAGCTTTTTTTTTTTTGTTACATTTTTTCTTGTAGGTAAGACCTTATTGATGGGCATGCAATCGAATAAGTAAATGAGGATGTATTTTTGTTATCACAAAAGCAAACTGAAATCGAAATAGTTTCTCTTTTGGTTACGGACTGAATTGAGGACAATAAGCGGGTGGCTTTGAACCAATACATGTAATAGAAAATTCGGAATCAACAATCTATCAGCCTAGATAGGTTTCTAGATCGAGGTTTATTACAGCCAAGGCTGTAATAAACCTCGATCGTATTGCAGCCGAGAACGGATACATTATTCATGATAAGGTTATAGTGCGAAAGGCAGCTTTACATAATAGTAAAATTGTCTTTTATAAAAAAAAAAAGATAAATAAACACAAATATTTGGAAAATACATTAAAATAAAAACACAAAAAATACAACAAATGTGCCTCTAAGAAGGTGTATGTTTTTCATTGTATCTATAGGTATCGAAATTTAAATGTTACTCACGTTCATGTAGTAAGTTAAAATACTGACATTAATCCCTCGTTTTCATCTCATATTATGCGCTAGTCATTCGAGCAAATTCAGGAGTAAATTAACGCCACGAAGTTGTCTCTACAATAGCCGAATGAACAAGGTATTTCCATTTACTTTTCACTCTTCTCCTAGTATGCCATTTTCCTTTTATGACTCTTATAGATGGCGTGTGCCTACTTATACTTGCAGTTTTATTCTGGCTGTTGATTAAGCGACACTCTCTACCTTCTGCATTAGATATGATAAATTGATTCTTCTTTTTTTCATCTACGTTAGTGTTTCAGTAATAAGCTACGTTACGTATTTTAACTACTTTTTCGTTGAAAGAGTCAGGTTTAGCTTTTCACAGCATTAATTGTTTATAAATAAAAAAATTAAAGGTTTTAATATAAATTATCACAAGTAGTTAATAGAGAGATCCTTTAAGAATCTACTTTTTTGGGTCATCCATACCTGAACTGCGAAAACGCCTTGAAAAATCAATTTCTTCCGTGGAAGATGTCTAGAAATACGCCATAAGCTAATTTAGAGAAGGAAGGTTAGCTTTACCAAAGGTTCCATCAATTTCTATCTGATCTACACGAATTCTAAAAGAAATAAAGGTGAGTAATCAATCGTACCGAAGCATCTGGTTTATATCGAATTATAACAGATATCTTGTAGACACCTGTTGACGGCATAAGCGCACCGAATCTACAACATTTCCAAACAATATATGAACCTTCTTAGACTTTTTTCCACTAGACTTTCCTCATAAGGGTAAATATTTAGTTGATGCGTGCGTGTTTAAAATCACCTTCAAGAGTCTCCAAGGAGATCGCGCTTCAGTCGCTATGGCGTTCACAAAGAACTGCTGGTGGCGATCGAATAAGTCAAACTTGCATTACTTGAGACGCATGTTTTAGATGCGCAGTGAACAAGCAGTGCTCGGCTAAAATATCCATCGCATTATAAAATCCGACTTATTTTATAGTCAGAAAGCAACGCGTAGCCGAAGCACTGCGAGAGGTAACATCGAGCAGCTGATTGAATCGAAGAGCACAGAAGTTCTTCGATTGACACTTACTAGCTCCCGGTTTGCGGCAAGGGAGCCTTAGAAAGGGCATGCTACAAGAATGACCAGGTGAAAGATTCGCAAAACTTAAGCACATCTTACACCGTATGAAGATACATTGCGATTCACAACTGAGATACTTGCTAATCGTATTTATTAACCAAAAAATCGTATATACAAAACAAAGGAGACACAGCACACTTTGTTACTATTTAAATAAGATATCGATATCATAGCCGGAAACGTCTAGCGCACAGTTTATTCATTAGGCTCTTTGTTCTACATCGTTGCATAAGTAACTATTAGGTGTAAGATTCATTTCTCCATCGATGCGCTCCTCATATTGGTGTTTAAAGTAATTACTCTAAATATAAAGGACAGTTTTTTCAACTACTGCAAATTTTGGAAGCGCTTTAAGGAAACTGGGCAGGTTCGTGATCATAAAACATTTTTCTTCCAAAAAAACGAAGCATAAATATGGTAACCGTGGAGACCATAAATTCTCAGAACAAGTCAGAAAAGCAAAAAACACAAAATGGCTTCAAGAAACCTGCCGGCGAAGATGACCCGTCTACGTCAAGGGCTAGTTTAGGTAATAATTTCTTTTAATTGCTGAAACCACGCATCGCGCCTACAGACGTGAATGATCACGTAATGAAAGCACGTTTGTTGCTTTTTCTTTATTTATTTTTAGTGTTTGTCTTTGAGTAGTGCCATAGAGCTCACTTCAGAATCAACTGCAGTTTCAAATCTTTAATTAGTAAGATCGTTATTCTTAAGAATCCTTACTTGGATCGTAGTGAAAACTATGTTCTCAGCAAGTATCGTGGCAACAAAGCTTTTTATATATATGGGATACGATAAAGTTGAAATTGGCTTTTCTGTTCAGGCTAAAAAGCCTAATTTGCCAAGGCTGCTTGCGTATTAAACACTTTACATTATATCTATATATTTATTATGTCTAACAGATAACAATCTGTTAGACATACAATAATATATTACTGGTAACTGATCGTAGCCTAGCGATTTTCGGTGATTTCAAACGTTATCTTTACATCAGTTTTGGAGCTCTTACACCCCCGCTAGATCCCGTTTTCTCGCGATATTGAATACACTATGTAATTGCCTACTTCGGTGGCATTTATGAATTGTATATTTTTTTCAAGATTTGTGGAATGATGTCACATGGCCACGTTGAGCTCTTTTTTCACTGGCATTATCTAATGGGGCTCGATTGTTCATATTGGCTTCATGGAACGCCGCATAAGTTCTTCCTTCTGCGAAGTCGGCCTGACGGATATTATTATCGGGGCATTATCGCTGACATCTTTGCCATCACTCAATTCCTTCGTTATTGACCTGGCCTCTTGTCGGGTTGTTTACGGGACCACCCATCTCAAAACCGTAGTCATTGTTTTAATGGTCCACGACCAGTTTCCTATGATTCACATCTGTACTCAGCGGCCTCATGAAAGTATGCGCCATCTGTCAACAGGCGTTCCGTTTTTGAAATTATTCAGTCCTTAGTTAGGCATAACTAAGGTACCTTGATAGCTTAGTGGCTAACATATGTCTGCCAATCTTATGGACTCTTTGTGGTCTGGGTTTGAACCCGGGTGTAGACAAACTTCAGTTCGTGCTGGGAGCCAGCAGTCTGATGGAATAGCTAATGGCAATACCGGGCATAAAACATGAAACGAAAAAAAAAGGCTAGCGCGCGTGTGCTAACCTCAATTTTTCAGAGAGTACTGTCTTCTACAGCGCTACAGATAATAAAATCTGATTTCAAGAATATATTGTACGCTATACTTAGGTATGAAGTGATCTGCATAAACATGAAATCAGCGGGCACAAAGTTTGCTTATAATCTTCCCTGTCCAAACAGAGCGATGCCCATTACCGCTTTCGTGTGTAGCACCTTTCCGAAGCTGAGGCCTTGTTGCGTTTAACTCAAACCATTACCCAACAAAGCAGTGATATTCTTTGTTTTTTTGAATCAGTTTTATAGTTGGATTTTGAAGTGTGCTGAGGACTGACCACTGACGTTTGACGAATCTAGCTTTGCTACTATTCAGCTGACACAGATATTGACCAAGTAGGAGGATACAGGCAGTACTTTGGTTTAAAATCTAAAATATCATCTGTTTGTTAGAGCTTAAAGCCCAGCTCCCATGGGTGGTGCCGTTCGATCCGCGATTTCCGCACACAAACCAAACAAGAAACTGTTACCAGAACTATGTCGACTATCATCGCTGCGTTAAGGTTCGCAACTTGACACTTAAAATATCTATAATTAGATGATGGTTCAAATGCTCCCGACAAATGGGACAAAAAAAGGCATACTCGATGCCAATAGGAATCATTTCTATAAAGCCTTACGTCCCCTTTCAACAATTAAAAATATTGCATTCGGACCTTACACAGTCATAGCGTCGCGTGTTATTGCAGGCTAAGAACCTACGCGGCGAACCAGTACAGTCCTGTGAGTACTTTAAAAAAGCATATAAAAGTCTTTGCCCAAAAATGTGGTTTCAAACGTGGGATACGCAGGTAAGTCGAAGTAAAGTTCCGCTTTATCAAAAGTGAGGATAATCACTCTTTTATTTCGAAGCAGTAAGCCATATTCAGTGTCAAACGCTATAACCCTTAAGGATCACTAAGAATAATCGCTATTATGGATCGAGTGTCAGACGTGGATGTATTTTTGAACCAGATAAACAAAATGACCCATAAGTTGCGTTTCATGTTTAGATTGCTGAAAATCGTTTTCCCGGACGAATTTAATAGAATCAACGAATCGGCGAGTGGGGTAAATTATTCACTCGAACGTGAGGAGTGGTCTTAGGAGGTCTTTGAAGCGTGTTGAAGACGGACCGGGCTACAGTATAAAGATGATCGTTCGAGGAGATCTCTCAGAGAGAGACACGATTGTTTTACACGATACAGTCGAAATCCGAGAAGAAATACACCTTGTGTGTTCAATTCATGGATTGCATCTATTGCTCGCTGGGTAAACGAGTAACGTATTTATCAACTCTTCCTCAGAAGAGAATACAGTCATACTTCACAAAACACAGCAGTGCCTTTTTAATTTTATTTGGCCATATCGTTGGACAACTGTTGAACGGATTTGCTTTGTTCAGTTTATATATAGGCTCATTTACGTCTAGTTACCTTCACCGCTGTGGCGGTGAAGCTAACTAGACGTAAAATTTGCACGTAGTGCCATTATCGAATTAAGATTTCACTTTCATTAAGTTGTTAACAAGTTGTGTCCGCATCGCAAATGACAATGCATGTAGTATAAACGGTTTAAGTATAAGATATAGCTACTTGAAGTTAATGTGTGGGAACATATATACGACCGCAATTGAGTGTTCATGTGGTCCTTGAAGTGTTGCATGGTCAATGCAGTAGTTTAGATTCAGTCACCAGCCTTCAAGTGACCACCGTAAATAAACACGTTACGTTCAAGCCGATGGAACTATTAGTCCAGTAATAAGAAATTATACTTATTTAATGAAAAGTTTAATAAAATATGATTAGGTTGAATTATTATTATGTTAGTTATACCTTTTTTATTTTTATAATTATAATTACTGCCCAGTCGCAATTTTGTCTTTCTGTAGCAAAATAATTCTTTTATGCACGTCATCAAACACATCATGAAATGTTTATGCTGTGAAACATTTTGTTCAGGCAGAAACAGCAGCAAATCACGAACTCACTGAGAGATTGGCCACGTTATTGTTGAATTACTTTTTTTTTTGCATAACTACACTACAATAGTAAACTGTTCCTCATTGACCTCAGCCGGTGTCGCCTGAGATAAGTCCATGTCTACCTTTGATGTGATTCTTTAAGCTTTGTGAGGCCGAAAATCGCTTCGGACAATGTGGACATCTAAGCAGGTTGCTCAGTGTGTGTAGATTTTCATGTTGTTCTAAAGCGGTTTGCTTGAAGAACATTTTTTCGCAGAATCGACACTTCCATTCCCGCACCGCATGAGTCTTTCGTTCGTGGAGCGTTAATTTCGTCTTCGATGAAAACCAGTCACCACAGGCATTGCAGGCAAAATATCTAGTGCTGCGATTATGCAGCTCGTGGTGTTTTTCGAAGCTGTATTTCGTGCGAAGCCTACGGCCGCATAACTTGCAAAGAAATGGCCGTACACCAATGTGCTTGTAAAGATGTAGCTGTAGTGTACCTTCGGAGATTTGTGGCAATTCACAAATACGACAAAGATCGAGCCTCTTATCGTGGGTTCGAATGTGGTTGGTAGCTGCTTGACTCGAGGCAGACTCAAAGCTACAGATGTGGCACGTAGCCTCCTTGTACTTTGAACTACACGGTTTTGACACGTCGTGATGGCTTTCAGGAAGTCGATGGTCAGGACAGCGCTTATCGAAATTTACTGATCGAGATTCTTCATAGCATGCGACCCCAGTAGACGACGAAGCGACCACATGCGCGTTCGATTGAGAGGCCACAGATGCGCCTGAGTTGGCAGAGACTATTCTACCAACCGCAAAAACGCCCTCTTCAATTACAGCAGTGTCCATAGTGAGCCTTTCTCAACGCAGTACGGGTGAGCTTTACATGCTTTAGCTGGAATAGAAGTGGAGACAAAATGAAGACAATTTTGAGTAACTGAGCTACGAAGAAGACAATCAATCGGCACAAGTCAGGTAAAGTTAGATTAGGGCTATCTCTAAATCGAGGGCGAGCACGTCTCCATCCAAACGTCCAGATCAGGTCTTATCATTGTTTTTAGTCAATATAATAAAACTTGCAAGATATGCAACAACCAAGGTAATAACCGCGTCCCGCATTGTCAAACCGAAGCTTCGACTGTACGGAATATACTAATCATTGGCTTAACCTGATGTCCTCGCATAATAAAATAAAAGCGGCTATTGCACTATGGCCGGTGTTTTATTTACATATGGAAGCTTATCACTAACTACCTAATCGGTTTCTATATTTTCACTCTGGGGATTGATTCGTCTATAGCACCTAGACACTGCTAACGATGCATAAAGCAGTTGGTAAAATTACGTTTTCGACATTCCGTCCACACTTGCACAACAGGGTACTTACCTGTTGATCCATTACAGAACAAGTTGTATCACCAGAAGTTTCGCCGACATTACGGAAGTTCGTAGCTAAAGAATACAGGCGTGCGCAGTAGATCGCGAAGTCGATGGAGAGAAATGACCACTATGAGCCACTAAATCATACCTAGCTCGTAAGTTGTGTCAGAATTTTTAGATATTCTAGGCAAACATGCACCTCTATTAGGTTCATATCATCAAAAAGAGAGAACTTGACTACTAATTATGTTGGAGACACATGTTGTCGGCTTTGCTTGTACTTGGAGAACAGCTGTGTGTGTTACCCAGAGAAAGCGAAGCTTCCATTTGACAGGCAAAGCAGTACAGATATACATCCATGCGTTTTCTCCTCTGAGCCGGGGGTATCTACCCTCACCCTCGCTACAAGGTTGGAAGTAGGTTTTTTCTCGTCGTATCCCGACAAGAAGCAGACGAAGTTTTTTATGCTGGGAGAAAAACTTAAATTTGACGGGTCTGTCCTAACATGTTACGCCTTGGGCCGTCCAACGCACGAGCTCAGAACTCTGAACTTAAATCAACTGTGTAACATGTTTGCTTAATATACTCACCATCTTGTGAAGTGGCGTAGGCTTGAGACCAGGGGGTAGACACACTTCGTTTTATGCTCGGTGACAGCCAACAAGGCAACATTTTCATGCACTCTCAGGGGTAAAACCGAAAGCTCCACAAATTTATGTGTGACTGACTCTTTAGATACTTCGGTATTGCGGTAGATATTACACCATAGATTACGGAATTAATAAATCCAAAAAATATTTGGACAAGGGGGTAAAAAGACCCAGTAAAATTTAAGTCAACAGCCACTTTTACTTATAGCAAACATAGGCTTATACTTATAGTACCTTGATCGACGTTCTGTTTAACTGGGAACTTAGTCCTTCAAATTTATAGTGTGATTGAAGTTCACCGCTACGTCTGTTGTTGACAGTGCATGGCATGCAAGAACTTCTGGAACTTTTCTAGTAAGAGCCATATTCTGTTACCAAAGGATAACAGATTTTAATATCAAGCCTAATTATGTTTACATACCTAGATATTTTTGCATAAAGCTTTCACATATATAGATGCCTTATAATAGGTGGAACCTATCACATATATATATATAATGGCTAGGTGCATATGTAAGGTTGTTTAATGAAATCATTTCCGGAATTTCCAAAATACGTTACTAGTTAATTAACTTTAGTTTTGACAGTACATCACATATTGCCGTATTTAACTTTGCATCTATTTCATGGTCTCGTATAATTCCAACGTAGAGAAGACTCCTATTCAATGAGCGATCGCAGAGGCGCTTTGTGATGTAGCGGATGTTCAGACGATACCGTTTAGCGTGACAGCAGGAGATAACGCTAAGCATAGAAGAAAAGGAATGCACACCTGTAGTAGTAGATAACAGTATAAAGTGAACCCGTATCCTGTGTCTCAAAACAAGGAAATTGTTTCCATATTTCGCTGTTCATCTGCCATGTGCTCCAATCTTGCAGAGGCCTTGCAGATTGCACTGTACAGTCTGTCGCTTAAATTGGATCTTATAATGCAGCTTAACAGTCGCGAATGATAGCCTTCACGTTTATTGAGAATTTGATACACGCCCTTATGTAATTAAGAATGAGGTTCGTGGCCGGCCGACGACGGCAATAGGAAGCAAAGCTCTAGTTGCAAGAAAATGAAGCACAATTTAAGTGGGCCAACTCTGGAAAAACTTGCTAAATTGATTGGGGAAATGTAATCAGTTCTGCGCATGAGCGCTGGTACATTGCAGCGGAATAGAAACAGCGATAGGTCACCGCCGCCTCCCCCGTACTCCCCGAAGACCATAAAGTAAGGGGACGTTTTTGTCTTTTGTCCTTCACTCGTGCATGGCAGTACGCGTGTGTTCAATAGTACGCGTGAGGCCATTTGTGAGTCATCTTTTAGCTGACGGCACTATCCCTGCATCACGCAGTACCTTAATCGACCTCTACTGGCTAGCGCAAGTTGTTCTGCCATGTGCTGAGCATGGTTCCTGCTATGCCCAGTTGTAGGAGCCACTGAAAATCGAAAACATTAATGAAGGCGAGAGCTGAATAAACGAGCAGAGAAATCCGGGATCGAGGTAAGGGTAGAGTTGGAGAAGCGCGACTATCTAGGGTCCCTTTACTATGCCACATTTTTCTGTGGCTCCTTTGCTTTGCGCTCAAGCGTAAATGCATCATATTATGCGGGTTCTGCGCAGGTCGCAGAAGATGTACAAAGATAAAGCAATAGAAGGATAGTGTTGAAAAATGAACAGAGAAAGGGCCAAAATACGATGTGTTGATTTGGTTATTGTTAACTGATAGGGAACAATGTCTCAAGTGGTAATGTGACGTGGATCAACGTAGCACATCGTTGTACGTTCGTTAACGTTTTTATAACGTTTTATTATAAAGAGCAGTAAAAGCACGAGCTGGTGGTATATCTAGAGAAAAACTGTGAAGCTGGGTAGTTTATATATTCTGATATTACCATACACGACCATAACAAAGGCAACAATGGTCGTTTTGTGAGTGAACCGTCTTATATATGAAAATTTGCCATCAATTTTGCCTGGAGCTCACTTATTCACGTATTCGAATCTATGTGATATTTATTCTAGGAAAAAAAAATCCACTTTTGTTAGTTAAAGCCGCCGCACGAGATTATGTAGGCTGCATTATAGTATATTGGTTACATGCTTTGATAAATACCAAGCTAAAGGAACGAGCATGGTTTGTGCTTAGCACGTGCATATCATGCAATATGAATCCAATAGGGACTACCGATTCTTGTCTATCAGAGGTGATTACATTTCCTTTTAGCAGTTCCCAGATATATTGGCTGTATCCCAGGTAGCAGACTGTTTGCTGCACCTATAATGCCTATATTAATTCAGTATTTTATGGTAGGCGTTATTTTATAAAAAAAAAAATATTTTCGGCTTGATACATCTGGCTAACAACAGTAGAAAGTGAAGGTTCTATCGTTTACGCTTCTGAATACACCTTATACAGGGGGTGTTTGTAAAGCAACTTTTCCAATTCATTTTTATAACGATGAGGTCTACGGAAAAAGGTGTAAAGTCATAATTCAGCAATATGCACTGGTGCAGTTTCTCAAATTGATCCTTGATTTTTTTTCTAAACGCTACTGTTTTTAAAACCTTGACACTTTCTTGTCTTTACGGAGAGAAGCTCGAAGTCAATTTCATACGATATATCTCTTGATTTGAAGCGAAATGCATCCTCACATTCTCTTTAAGGTGGATTATCGGTAGCTTTAGCTAATGCTGGCTATAACTTTTCCAAGTATATTCATCATGGAATTCTTTCTACGGCTATAATCCGCAGTTCTTTCGATATATATATATATATATATGAAAAAACTTATCAGGTTTGTTTATTTGAAGTTTGCCACAAAGTATTATTTATGATACAAGTTTTTGGCCATGATTCACCTCACTCATACGGCAACGAATTTGGCTAACATCGCGGAAAATTCCAAGTGAATTTCTCAACATCCCCTGATATTGCACAATTAAAAGGCAACGAGTTTTATCCAAGAATGTCAGTATTTTTCGACATTTTTTAATCAATATTAAAAAAATGAACGTTAGCATTATCTTTATCTATACACGAGAGTCACGTGCAGTAACAGAGAACAATATTTATTGCTATATTAAAATTTTTTTTTCATCTAACGGGATAGTTAAATGAAAGGGAACTAGAAATCGTCATCTTGGCATTAGATCATTTCCCGTAACCGACAGTTACGCTGTTGATATATTCGATATGAAAAATAAATTTAGACCTACAATATATACAACGGTGTATTGTGTCGCCTTGAACTCTTCATTGTGCCTGTGCCTATTTATATATCTAAATAAATATATATGTAAATGTTACATAATATATGTTCTTAACGTGATCATTTAAAAGTATTGTTATCGCTCAGATTGTGCAACAGCACTGCGACGAATTTCTGACGGAGCGGTGGCTCCCGACGAAAATGATCTTGACGGGCGTTGAGTGACTTCATTGCACGGTAAGGTAAATTTCCAGCGCGGTGTATATAGCCATAGGCTTTAACTGTTAAAGAGAGGAAGTTGATATCACTTCGGGGTGGAGATGGCGCCAAGAAACCATTAATGGATGAAGTGAAGTTTGAAAGCATTTTGTGCCTATGATTTTACGATTGAAGTGATACGTGATCCGTTCAACTTCTGCCCTATTTTGACTAGGACCACTGGAGAAAAGCATGCGATCAAGAAGGTATACGATTTATTCTTTTCGTCCGCTCTGCTTTCCTTAGGAATAAATTGTGTATTCCTTTAGGGCTGATTAGCTCGGTTTGGAAGAGTTTCCATCGAGCGTAACCGCTATAGCTCCTTTTAGAAAAATTTATAGCGAAATCCACAACAACCGTTCGGTGATCGTCACCACTGCTTTATGGCAACTAACAAGGACTACACGAGACATATTTTCCCTTCCCAAATATTAGCACAGTTGTTCTACTAAACTGCACACTTCCTTTGGTTCATCTAAAAGTTCCAGCGTTTTAAAAATCAGTGGGAGCGATAAGTTCGTTACCAGTATCATATGCTTTGCCTAACGACTCAATGTCTATTTGCAATTATTTATGGGAGCGTATTTTGTACGGGCTAACTTTAGACCGCGTACTGCACATGCTCGTTTGCCCTCGTCGTTAATTTCGCTTTGTTCTATTCGATGGACCCGACAAGGTCCACTACATCTGCTAACGCTACATTTTAACGGCCATTCAGTGTACAGATATAAACAGAACGAGCAAATTGGACGGTATTTCTATGTTCACCTTTGCGGGCGACGGTGATTCTATAATGCACGGATATATTAGCTTGATTATTGTTAAAAAAAAAAATCACATTCAGGCTTTTTATACAGCTGCAAGCCTAAGTATTTGGATCGTAGCTGAGCTGATATTGTCATCATGGTTTTTTTCTGTTCATCGAGGAGCTGCATCTAAGTCAGGTCACTCTATAAAGCGCGAACGATAGAGGAAATGAAGCAGCTCTTGCCTTTTACTCAAAACTCCCTTTTCATTTTACGTTTCTCCCTCAGCTTCTATTACGGTTTAGCCAGAAAAACACGCGTCCTATAGCCACCAATAACGGCTTCACCAGAGGCGGCTTTCTCGCGATGAAGAATCGATTAGAAGCTACGACGCAGACGAATCGAACAGAACAGTATTCCATTAAGATAATCGTTTGACACATGCTGCTCCTCCCGATTCTTTGATATTCCTTGTAAATGTCTGCATCTATAATCAATGTGCACAATTCATACGTGACTGAAGATAACGATGAACTACATGCTAAATATTCGAGGCCAGTACGGGCTGGTGCAATGGGTTATGATTAGGAGACCTCGATCTCACACGGTACGACGCACATAAAATGTGCCTTGCTAGCGTTGTTCTCCATGAAGCGTACCTGTTTAACAGCGACATCCATATATGACAAATATTATTTAAGGCTAATCTTTATTATCAGTCCTTTGAAAAACTGATAAGTACTAGCTGGAATGGGAAATGCTTCTCATGCATATATATATACGTATGCGCACGGTGCATAAAAATGGGTTCACTGGTGAACATTGAAAGCGAGCCACTGACGAAGCCTGATGCATGGTTAAAAAAAAAAAAAAAACGAGTGTTGACAGTTTCTTTTGCACAGCTGGTATCATTTCCTGGCGTGTGCAATTAGTTTTCGTCGTAGCTCACCACTTAGGCTGACGACATGCGGCGTGTGGCCTATTCGCTCTCTCCGACCCGTCGTGTTCTTTTAACTTCAAGGAAAATTATTGTACATGGAAGAAGCTCTACCCAAAAGAGGCCAATGCAGTTATCCATGGTATAGCAGCGTATGCAAATGGTGCCGGGGCATCACACCGCCACACAGCTGGCAAACTACCAGATAACATAGGCCGGGGAAGAACTTTACACGTGAACAGCACGTCGAGGTCGAGCCCCGAAAACGAGTAACAATCAGAAATAACTCGTCATCCTTGAACTCTTCCATTGTCTATATTAGACACCACAGAGTAGTTCAATGGCGACATTAGTCGCCATTGGACTACTCTGTGGTGTACGCGTCGAATGATGTCCTTTATACGTCCTTTTGTCGGTTCCAGTGATCATGACAGGTTAGGTGTTATGCAACACGGATTACTTGTTAGCGTATGCAATGGTCACGTGTTTGATAGGCAAGCTAATTGAACTCATGCTTCACGTCGTAACTTGGAAATTTACGATAGTAGGACAAAGTACCAATTAATCGCCCATGTTAAGCCCTCATTCGAATAAGAAACGTAATAGACGATAACGAATAGCAGATGAATAGAACGACAACGGTGCCTAATATCGACATATAGAACAAGCAGTCTATATCTGTTTGGTTACTGCACTTCCCCTCTTGCTCTATTACTTAGCAATTTGTCAGACTTGGCGATCGTCCAGTTTAATCTTGCAAGCTGTTAAAACTTGTCTTGCAACATATCTATAGTGAAAAAAGAACTTCCTTAACGAAAACCATTGGCTGGCACTAATTTTTTTGTTTCGTTAGAAGGCCCAGGCCCGAATGCAAAGGATAGTTATTTTTTTTAGTTGCCTCAATATTGCCTTCGGCCTAAATCTAACGTATCTAGATAAGACAAATAACAATTACTTTTACTCCGTTTCTATCGAAATGAATTGATACGAGAGATTAGCATAAAATCAAAGCATGGTAAAATCTTCGGCAAAATCTCCAACTAAACAAATATTAGAAGTAAGAAACAATGATCTGGATACCTTATAGCAAACAACATATCTGCGTATAGATACTTAAACATTAATTTCAGCAATAAAAGCTGAATCTCTGTAGGTCTAGATAAGAAGATAAATGATTTCTGTCTGAGCCTGCATTACATCAACGGTGGTATTCAACCTGCTCATTTGAACGTAATACTAAGAAAAACAAAGGAAAAAAACAAGCATCGTTTTAAAGCAAAAATACAGTTCTATTGAATAAGCATATCACGCATGGGACGTTTGCTCTTGTTGCCTTTTGCGATTCGTTTCTCTTATTATTTACGTTAACGCAAAAAATAAAGAAAACGTTACTTTCGTTATTAAACTTCCATTGTTGACATTAGTTTACAAACCGATCGCTTCATATACCATGGCCGCTAATCAGATATTTCTATGAACAATATCATTCCAAACAAATCTTCAAATTTCACCATAACTTGATAGCAAAAAGATTTCGAGAACTTAAATGTCGCGATAATCACCCAATGGAAAGCTCGGTCGGTCGTCTACGTGACAGAATAGACTAAATGAAAAGGTTCCTTTCTTTTCTTTTAGACGAGTGATAAGACGTTATTAAGTCGGAAAGGATGAGATGTAGGACGTCTTTATCAGAAAGTGGTACTACCCATTCAACTGACGGAACTATAAAAGCCGTGTGCGGGTTGGTCGGAACCGAACCGAATGAATTGAAAAGGTCAGATGAAGGGAAAGCTTTGTTCAAATTTGATAATCAGGGGAAGTCCTTTTGTCATAAACTCAATGAGAAAGATTATTCGATTATTAAAAGAAATTATATTACTTTGCCCAAGAGACGCAGGGTTTTCAGAGCGAGCAAAAAGAAACGAGAAAAAGCTGCGCTGACAATCACAGCAGTAGAATCACAATATCACTGTGTTACTGCGATATTTTTAGTTTAGACTGAGTTAGGGGTAAACACGACAAATGGCGGGCTAAATTGTACTTGTAATAACTGAACCAAATCAACTCATCCGGTCCACCATTATTCAGTTTCTCTTAATTTCGCTATATATATATATATATATTTTATAGTTTTGTTGAGCGTGTGATGTCACAATCAAGCGCCTAAGTACTATCACAATTTGCTCGATTTTTACTCTTGTAAGTCTTATAGCCGCGCTTCAGAATCTATGATCGGAAATACAATTGCTAGAAATGGTTGTACATAGTCCAGTCGTATCTTCTGTTGTACTTCAAGTATCGGTCTTCCTGTAATTGGTGTCTATTGCAGAGGTATAGAAATTACAGGATGTACCTTTCAGCGCCTCCCTGTGTGCGAGTGCACCTACTCCGTTGACAGGCTCGACGCAGCGTTTTTCCGAAGCAATAGTAAGATACGCAGTCACTGGCCTTTGCACGACGATTGTAAGCGGGGATTACATAAAGAGATTATATAGAACGCTCCGAATCGTATTGTTCGCTTGCAGCGACGGCTAGGGTCACAAGCTGTCTATGTATCAATCTACACGAATATACAATAGTATCGTCTTGTATTTCGAAAATCTATGGATGTTATTATCGATTGACTTCCTTTTTTTGTCGGTTCGAAGCCAGACTAGCGGATTGTTGCCACCCGTCCTGTGTGCTTGGTGCTGTTTTAGTTTTTTTTTCATATGTTGTTTGTTTTTCACGCATGGATGTTTGTAAGTGCGATAAACAGCTAAAGACAAGTTCGCACTGTCCCTTGCGTAACCATAACTATGGGCAGTCCTGCTTGTTTTTTTCAGATGCAGCGTATTCCCATGTGATGATGAAGCCTACGTCGATTTTATAGTGCAGATTCTAAAACGGTGGTCATAGCAATTAACGTAAGCAGTCAAACTTATTTGGTACTAGATTTCTGTAGCGGCTTTCTTTCTGCGTCACCGGTACTTGAGGCTTTCCTGCAGGTGCAGGAGTGGTGATGTATACGATGCGAATACCTACCTTCTACTTGCGTTTTCTTCTACATATCAAATCAGAGGATAGTCGTAATCACTCCAGATTTCACTCCTGGGATGCACCCCGTGCTCGGAATTTACCTGTAGGCTTCACATTCACCAGTATATGATTGAAGTACGTGTATATGCGCTTACATGCTTCGAGTTTTACTTCCGGTATCGCTACTAGGCATTCCATCACGCAGCTGACTCCCAGCACGAAATGAAGTCTGTTTAAGTCCGGATTCAAATTTAGACCACAACGTGTATGTAAGATTAGCAACCAAATACGATACCCACTAAGCTGTTACGGGTATTTTACTACGGGTTTATTTTATCCAAACCCGTAGTTAGCCCTTTGAGGCGGACAATGAAGGAAACCGCTGGGATTTACAAAGGAAGAAAATTACACCACTATTAGACAAATTATCGTATCCTGGTGTAAAAAAAAATAAAAATAGTGAATAAGTACTGCTGTGTAGAGGAACCCTTACCCTCGAAGAAGAAGGCGGCGAGTGAGAAGCGCATCAGAAATGTGTTGACGATTGCGCTCTGAAGAGTGAAGATACTTGACCGCTATTATTTCGGGTTGAAATAAAATGGCGGTTTTGGCTCGATTCTAACTAGTAGTTCACGATACCTGGTACGAAAGGTTTGAGGTAACTCTGAAAGTAAAGGTGCATGGGGTGTGTTACTGAAGACCGATCTTCAGTCGGGTCGGGGGCCTGAACTGCTTCAACGAATTAGTGCGGGTAAATCGAAATGCTACGTGCATAGTCATTTTACTGTTCCAGGAAATTGGTTTGCAAAAATAGACAGCTAACTAATTAACAATTAATTTCAGCTGGACTAGTTTAGTATCGGAAAAACAAGGCAAGCCTGAAAATTCTAAGTTAGCCGAAACGTAATTTCGACAATATATAAATTTCGGCAGCTGCATATTTAGCGAACTTGTTTCATTAGAAATTTAGCGTAAGTATTCTCTGAGATGTTCTACGTGCTGTTATTATTTTGCCCCGGGGTTCGTCAGCAGTAGTTTTTCTGAGGGACAAAATGATAGGACAGGGCACCTACATGATCGATTCCGCCTGTCTGCGATATTCCAGTTACGAAAAGCGTATACTTACACATGCAAACTTGATCCGGCAACTCTCGAAATTTTGACTACCGAAAAAGGTGCAGCCGAGGCCAATTGTGTGATTGCCAAGAAATTAGCTGTATTTGAAATAACTGCTTTTAATGTTTATGAGTTGTAAAGATCTGGATTTGAACTGTGAATTAAGTTTTGAACAGCTGCACAAAGTGAATATCGATGATTTGCAAGCATTTTGGCCAGTTCTCTGCACATTGGCCTGCATGTCCTGGATCGCCTGCAAGTATTCAAAAGCAAGAAAAGGTAGGACAGTAAATTCTGCACTAACCCGATACAAGTGTCAACCTTCAGTTAAGCACGTACATATATATTTGTAATCTCTGTACAAGATTCCCACAACTTTTTCATGCAAAACGCATTATTAAACATCAGATAAGCCTTAACGTAAGCAACTCATAGGATTTTGTAGAACCTGAAAAGGGTTCTCAACTAGAAGTTACAGAGGTGCACTGTAAACTTCGACTGGACTTGAATTGTTAAACAAAATCCAAAAAGGATTATTCATGTCAGAGCCCTGAAGATATAAAAGACCGCACACCATGCGACATTTGATTTTACAACACATAGGCTAAGGCCATTAAATTGAATTAATTATTATTAAATTAAAATAAATTAGAGTGACCTCATGAATTAAACACGGAATTTATACGTATTTTCAGTAGAAATTACTCAATACTATATGTGGACATCCTACTAACCCTTTTCATGTTACTTTTTCTTGGAGCTTTTAAAAAAGAACGTAATTGGGATGATATTTAACTATTTTGACTTAAATTTATAGAGTTGAGCTTTGACTAAAGTAGTGCAATTCCAGTTCACTTGTCTGAAGCTACATGTTACCTGTGCTGTTTTAACGTTCGTATTTTTCCATAAATAGTCTTAAAAATAATAGTAACCAGGTTACCTTTGAAAAAAATATAACAATCGAACCTTATCTTGACCTAGGCGCCAGTTCCTCTAGCAAATGATGATATTGAAGACCGTAGTGAATCGAACGTCATTAAAACGGGCTCCACTTCACTCAGAATAAGCTAGCGGATAAATCATTTTTATCTAATATTAAAGTTACTTTGGTGCCTAACTTCACCCTTATGATTCACCTTATGTTCCTGGCTACTACGCCACTGCTGGCAGGAACACAGCAACGAGAATTTTAGACGGTCAGAAAGTAATGTTTTGACAGTCTTCAGCCTTTGTTACTTGTAAATCTTATTTTGCCGTTTGGCTTAAAGCTTAACGTTCTCTTTGAACTACTCTTCGTTTGCTGGGCCCTTTGAATTTTGGCTGAGTTTGTTCATAACAGTGCATTGTGCTCAGTTAGTTAAATCATAAACTGCTCTCTTCACTGTTTCCCGTTAAGGAATATTTACCTGCGACACCAGGAGCGGGATGGAAGATTGAAAGCTAAGTCGCAACGCTTGCCGAAGTTTGTCTTATGGCTTTGAAACCGAAAATCTCTATTTAAACCGTAAACCACACTTCCGACGACCCGTCCATTTCAGGAAAATTAAGGTTCGTGTGCAAGGAGCAATTTTTCCGCCAAATAGGCAACGGTAATAAAAGAACGACCCTCTATAACAAAATCTATTGCAAAAAATCCCGAATTAGCTTTAGCCAGATTATAATCGTTCGCATTCATACAGTATGGCTCGTAGGACAAGTGATTTAAGAGAAACGTAAGAAAATAGGTTTATCAATAATCGCCTCTCTTGTAAGCATTTAGCCGGGGTATACGTTTACTGCCAAATCGGTGCAGCAAGATTACGGAAAGCCACACAAATTACCTCAGTATAATAAATAATTGGCCTTCTTTAAATATCGTCACCATTTTATGTAAGCTAACAACCGAAGCTTTCTAGCCAATCTGCTAGATACCGTGTACTATAGAATTAAGACCAGCCAGGTTCCACTAATTGTGTTTGTAGAAGGTAACAGAAAAAATGTCCATGCATTCCCCTATAACGTGCTTTGTGAAGCCGTTATATTGATTTAGCGCCTTCTGATAATGGCTGATATAAAATCTAGAAGTCGAGAAAAATTAAGGTGAACTGTTTTCACAATGCTTCCGTAATACAATAAAGCGAAAGAATAGGCAAATAGGCACAGACGGCATGCGTTTGCATACATTGTGAGTAAGCCTGGTAAAGGTCCTGCAGGTGTTCAGCAAAAAGAAGCTCGACCAGGCAAAGTAACAGACGTGGATAAGATGAGGCAAGGGTAGCCTTTGCCTCGTCAAAGAGCGACCTAACTAACCAGGGCCGATGGAGAGTCATTTAAAATTGTTTGGGGCTAAGCGTAGCTTATCAGCGTGCATGGAGTAAATGTGATTAATACAGAACTTCGCATACTTAGGCACAAGACACTGCGCACATGTAGAAGGCCAATTTCTCGATGACTTTGTTATATTGATACTGAAATGCAAGTTACCACAGGTCACTGGGTGGGTAGATCATAAATGTGGGCTGACGCACTGGCTGACGCTATTCAAGTGACTAGAAAACAGGCACAAGAAAGTGAAACTGTCAGAGGTTAACGAATATCTAAGTTATAGATCGTTTTCAGTATAAACGGAAGGAGTGATCTAATAATAGATATAATATTCATAATAATAAATAAGAAGAATAAAACACGAAACGCGTATGGTTTTTGTTGAATTATGGATACAAAGTTGAAAAAGTTAGTGCTTAAAAACAGCTTAGACCTGTGTAAACGTCGTTTTATAATTGCAAATCTGAGCTGAACAAAACTCTGTAACTCATATGGTCGCATCGCCAAATTAACTGATTTCATTCAGCCGATTTGTAGTGGAGGTATTAGTTCTGAGGGGCAGCTGAGTCGAATCCGGCACAAACACTAATCCAAAGGATAGAATTTTGGGTCACGATACTTGAGCAGTAGGAAATTTGTCCGTATGTGTGAAATCTATATTGGGCCGTAATATATGTACGTCCTCTTGTAATCCGCTTTCTAACCCCACTTTTGACTCGCGCTTTTTCCATGACAAAAAACGGCCCAGTTGCCTAGCCGATCATTTACTCGGCCTTCATTCCGTTAGTCTCATAGCAAAACAGCTCCTATCCGTGTACGGTTCGTCTCGCTAGAGACAGTTTTTTCAATCCCTGCCTACCAAAGCCAGACCAGACGTGTGCGGTTTCTTCCTGAATGTGCGGTCTGCTGGCAACGTGCTCATGCTATCCTGCCGTCCAGTATCGGCTTTCACCCTTCGCCTGACCTTCAAAGGCGCTCAACGGTTCATCGACTGAAAACCGCTGAAGAGACGAAAAGATGACAAGAACAAGCGCTTTCAGAATGGAAAGCAAGGCAACCTTTCCTCTGTCAACTAGACCGAAATAAATCACATGCTAAAATCAAAACGCACCAATTTTTCCCCGTCTAAGTTTAACGGATACCGGAACGACTGAGCATAGACTATATGGTCAGTATTTGTGATTCGATAGTCTTCTTGTTAGTTGTAGTATTGTAGTATTATAGAATTAAAACAGTATATGACCATTGTTTGTCATAGGGCAGAACAGAGGAAAGAGCACAAGAAATAGTCTGTGTCTCAGGATAATTGTAATTCCAGTGAACTCGTTTTGTTTGAGTATCGAAAAGTAAGCGCAAGAATATGTGAGTATTTTTACTTTAATATATTTTTATTTGAAACACATTTGTAGAAGAAATATTCGCTGTTACAGATACCCCTATTTGTAAAAAGAGAGTCCGGCGTAAATGCGGAGAAAAACGACACTTCTTCAACTTTTGTAGACCTTTATCTCTCCGAGCAAGCTGACTTCGTATTGCCTACTTAAGGCCTCACTGTTTAGATTTAACCCATTTAAAATTCTTAGATAAGAAGTCACGAGCCTAATGGAAAAATATCTAATCTTGCTTGTTCTTTAATTTATGTTTTTTTACCTTCATTGAAAGTGATTAACTAGACGTACTAACAAACTCTTAAGCTCAAAAAGGGCGTAAATACCTTTAGAATTAGAAGATCGTTCGTGCATGTGATATATGTTTGCGTCGAACGGGTCGTACCTATTGCAAATATAAATTTCTGAAGCTCAGCTTTCGATGTTATCCACAAAGTTTGTTACTGTTCAAAAACACAGGTTCGATGATAATTTCTTTGAATTAGTTTTCTACAGAAAGCAAATCTAAATTTTATTTGATTCTCAACTGATTATTCAGGAATATTGAATATTCAAGAAGCGTACTTTCAAGAATAGAAATAAGGCTCGGAATGTACGCATTTACCACAATGTACTACCTAATAAATGTTCCGAGCTTTAATGTCCAATACTGCCGTTAAGCATAGCTTCACACGCAGTGTTCTACATAGAAGTACTACTCTAACTTTGGCGTCAGGAATCTACCGGATTTCGAAGCCGCATGACGTAATATGAACGTGTTGCATTGTTGCGGAAAGTTCCTTACAATATGCTACCTTCGACACAACTGTAATAATGCAAGATACAACTGTTCAATAGAAAACTTCCGAAAATAACTCGTCAGAATAAGTTTTACGTAAGGAATAAACAAGTTAAAGGAAAGAGCCGTCCAATGCGTCCAAGGAAGGATATCCACTTTTAATTATAAACGAAAATACCTTTTGTATTTAGATACGTGTAGTCTGCGTCCTAACTTTACCCTTTCATTGGCGTTAAAGAGGAAGAGTCTTCAAGGAGTTAACCGAAGATAAGAGTATCCACAAAATTTAACCTCGTGTAGTGAAACGTAACGGTTCTACTGTAAGGCAATTCTCAATGGAGAGGCAAAATTACCGTAAAGGTTTGGTCATAGACTTACCTCAAGTTGGCTTTGTTTTAGAAGTGAAGAATCCGGCATGAATGTAATGTTAACAAATAAAATATGAGAAAACGAACCTACAACAATATAGGATCCTGAAAAATGCAAAAACATCTAAAATGTATATTTGTGTTTGTCCAAACTCTTATTGAACCGACCTTTTTGAACATCTGTTGCCTCACCGTTACGTCGAAATGGTGGCCCGCAAGTTTTGCTTTCTTTTACGTAATCCCTATATTTATGTTTAAATCCGAATATTTTTTGCTATCTGGCTAACACATTATCGTATTCTACTCGTGGATAGGCAAAGCACCTGTCTACCCTTTCAGTTCTATGACTTGCAGAATACCTCCTCTAATGTCATTGGTCTGCTTGGATGGCCTCAGGCAACTGTTAGCACTTCAT